AAAGGTTTGTAAGAGAACAGAGTATTCATCCAGTCGTACAGTTCGTGTAGGGCGTTGTCCTGGAGGAACACTTCGAGAGGCACCCGTTCCGAGTTGAAGAATACTCGTGCGTGGGTAAAGCAGCGCTTGATCAGAGTGGCCACTGAAGCTGCTGACGTTTGTCCAAGCTGTGCCGAGATGCTCTCAATCTGCAACAAACGGTCTTTTGAAAGCATGTTGCGCTCATAGTCCGTGTCTGAGACGTGGCGGTGCAACCAATTGTAGTGTTTCTTCAGATGTGGCTGACTCTCCAAGTCCAGATCCAAGTCATCTAGACCATCCAAGGCAGCGGCACCGCAAAGTAAGAATAGATTTTCAAGCAGTCCGTGAATGATCGAAAACGACTGATCTGCTTGCGAGGAGACCAGTTGTGTCGGATCAGCGAGGTCGAGGTCTGTCTTCCACAGCATCCGTACTACCTTGGAATCATTTGACTTGTCGTCGGAGGTCTCAAGATCCACTGGAGAGAAGCGGAGATCTTTCATGAAAAGAACCGGTGTTGTATTGGCGTTTCCAGACGCATACCCAATGCTGTTGCCTTCACAGGTGCCAGAGCCCTGCTTCGTCAAGGTCTGCAAATGAATTGACGCGGAAGCTGCGGAGTTGCTGATGAAAACCTCAACAATGTGGGTTGGTAGATACAACTTGTCCAGCAGACGTGGTTGTCCGGAGTTGTTGGCTACCACTAAGGACTGGAGAACTTGGTCTATCGTTTTGGGGTGGAGTGCGTACGTCGACTTCAACTCGTTGCAGTCCCGAGCGTCTGAAATATCCGCGGCTACAGCAGGTGAACTCACGCTCGCTCTGATGTTCCGCATGCCCCTAAATAGAGGACCGTAGTTGTAGCCCACTTTTGACATAGCTTTGTACCACCGCCGAGATTCGACGGGACGTAGGAATGATTCATCTGCAAGAGATGAAAAGTCTGGGCCTTGTGAGGCCTGCCCATCTTTCACGCGACAGGTGCAGTGCGTAGTCCATGCTCCGGACTTGTAGCTCTGAATACTGACCTCCCACCAGTCAGAGGCATCGGATTGAGTGAGTCTTTCACGGCTTGTCGAAGTCAGAAGCTCCAAACCCTGTCCCGTGGAGAGAACTAAAGCATTCATGACCTGTAGGTCCCGAATCGTGAAATCGGTCTGGCTAGATATTTGCCGGACGGCTTCTCCAACCATAGCGATGTACCCGGCGGCGGGGAAAACGACATCTGAGCCGACGCAGTGATCCTTAAGCCATGGAACCTTCTCGAGTGACAGAGCACACCGCCAGCTGGGCGTCGAGCTGCTGTCCTCAAGCACACGCGAGCCTAACAGCTCATGAGGGGGATGCTCAGGAAACTGCCACGCCTTGGTGACTCTTGATTCTGGCCAGTACGTCTTGCTCAGGTGCCAAGGATACGGCGGAAGATCCGTCAGCGGACGGACACCGTCCAACACTGGGAACACCACTGGCACGCCGCGGCAGTGGAGCTCGCCAACTGCTGACAAGAACGAGACCATGCTATTTGCGCCGCGCTTCTGTGCGGTGATGTATGCTGGCGTCATTGCGTTTTCAGAGTAGATCTGCTTGAGCGGACCTGCGAGCGCCGAGTGTGGACCAACTTCAAGGTGGAGGGTTGTCGATGATGTTTGAAGAAGTCTCGTGACGGCTTGACGGAAAAGCACTGGAGACTCGAGATTTCGTTGCCAGTACTCTGGGCCAAAGTCTGATGCGCGTTCTAACGTCTGCAGCGAGACACTTGAGAAGAAGGGGATCTTGGGTGAATTGGGGTTCAAATATGGCTTTAGGAGGGCTTGGTACTCGGCACCCACTACGCGCATGTGATCTGGGAAGAAGGGTTGTTAGTACTCAGCAGACCTTGGTTGGAGTAGACGTCGTAACTTACGAGAATGGTAGGCCTTGTCGACCTTGAGCAGTCGAACCAACGCATCCGGCTTGGCTTCTTTGATGGCATTGCAGACAACCTCGAGAGGCTCGACATCGCCAGAAAGAGTGACACTTGAGTTGCTGTTTTCACAGGCGATCGTGACCCCAGCAGCCAGAAAAGGCGTTACTTGGTCTCTTCCGAGACCAATGGCGGCCATGGCACCCTGCTTCTTTAGCCTCTTGGCCGTGAAGCCACGGTAGTATGCAACTATGATGGCCTCTTTGAGGGTGAGCACACCAACTGCATACGCAGCTGCGATCTCGCCACTGGAGTGACCGACCACCGCTTTTGGTAGCACGCGATATCGGGCAAGGTGCCGTACAAGAGCAACTTGCAGGGCTGTGCAAATCGGCTGAGCATATTCCGCTTCGCCTAAACGAGACATTGCCTCAGATCGCATCAATTCGCCTGTGAGAACTTGGTTAGTGACCGCTTGAGTTCTCTAGCTGGGTTGATGGCATACCTCTGATGTCCCAACTCGGTCGGTGGTCTTTCGGAAGACTCTTCAAAGCCGCATCCATCTCACGAATATCTTGCAGGAATTCCCGACTGGTCTTCAGGAGGTGTGAACCCATCCTTGCCCACTGGGCGCCCTGACCAGTGAAAACAAACGCGATACCGGCATTCTTTGTGTTGGATCTGAAACTTGGTAATGGCGGTGGGTTGAAGACCAAGCTCTCGCACTCGTCGGTCACAACTGTGAATGTCCGGTGGCCCAAATGTGACCGGCGATGTGTCAAAGTGTGAGCAAGTCCTTCCAGCCTCGACGGCTGCATATTCAGAAATGTCTTGTAACCCTTCACCATGGCTTTAAGCGACTCCTCGTGGCCAGCCGAGAAAAGAAGAAGAGTTGCCGGCTCTCTTCGGAGAGGTGGAGACGGCGGCGGGGTATCCACATTGCCGGGACCCCGGACGGCCGTCGGCCTTGTCACCGAAGCCGCCGATTCTAGAATCATCTGAATGTTTTAGTGATCTTGCCATGAATGTGAAGATACAAAAGGCTCTTACATGTACGTTGGTTCCTCCTATGCCAAAGCTGTTCACCCCGATCCGCTCAGCGCGATCTTCGGGCCAAGGCGTGGGTTCGGTCGGAACTTTCAGACCAGCTGATGAAAAAGGTACTACACACATGACCCATCAGAACGACTCCTGTACTCCTGTGCATCTGAAGCTTGGCACTTACTGCTAATGCTTGGATTCTCAAATTTGATATTGGGTATAATGGTACGAGTTTCAAGGGACAAAACGGCTTTTACGATGCTGGTAATGGCTGAAGCAGCTTCTGAATGTCCCAGGTTCGGTTTCACCTGAATGATCATTAGCACGCATCCTTATGGCATCTCCCCAGGTATGCAGTACTTACCGAACCGATCAACATCCCCTTGTCACCGAACACTGTCCCAACAGTGCAGGCTTCAATGGTATCTCCAACAGCGGTCCCAGTGCCGTGACACTCAACCATCGCCGTCTGCCACATGTCACTCTCGGGAATGCCGGCGTAGCGATATGCATCGCGAATCAACTCCTGCTGAGCCTGGGCACTTGGTGTTGTCAAACCGAGAGTCTTGCCGTCTGAGTTTGTCGCTGACCCGCGAATCACCGCCCGAATAGGATTTCCGTCTCTGATCGCTAAGTCGAGTCTTTTGACAAACAGGCAATTGACTGCTTCAGCACGTACATAGCCGTTAGCGCTGGAGTCAAAAGTTCTGCAGGATGCATCTGGTGACAAAACGCTCTGTTCAGCCATGAGCTTGGTGAAGCCTGGCGACAGCATGAGATTGGACCCTGCCACAACAGCCGAGTCGCATTCGCCAGCGCGGATAGCCTGGCAAGCAAGGTGCACTGCGAGTCCTGCCGCTGAACACGCTGTGCGAACAGTCATGCTACCACAGAATCAGTGCTGGAGACCATCATTGCAGTCTGGCATGCTCACCTTGGCCCTCTCAGATCAAATGCGTGAGATATCCTATTCGCCTGTACGAAGTCCATGTACCCCGTGAGACGATACATGCCGTCGTCCTGCGTGTCAACGGCGTGCATCTCCCGCCAGTCATCTCCAAAGCTGCCCACGTAGCACCCGATCCTCTGGCCCTGCCATTCCGTTTCTGCAGCGCTCTCCAGCGCTTCCCAGACCACCTGCAGTAACAGTCGCTGTTGCGGATCAAGTTTTGACATTTCTTTCGGGTTCATCGAGAATAATGAGGGATCGAATTTCGTGACATCGTCATTAGAGAGCCAGTAGCCCTCCTCCGTCGGGAGTGACCCTGACTTTCCGGTTGCTGTGAAATGGTGGTTTTCAGACGCGTACCGCGGCTGGTCGGGTTTCGAGCGCGCATCTTTGCGGGAGATGAGGAAGTTGTAGAGAGATGTCGGGGTGTTGATCCCGCCTGGAAGTCTTAGGCCTATGCCGCAGATTGCAATCGGTGTTGGCCTGGTGTCGCTTGGTGCTTGCGTGTTGTCCTCTTTTGGGAGCCCATCTGATGCCATGATGGACGTAGTGACACGACGTATATTGACGTATCGAATCTGGATAACTCAAATTGGATCAGAATGGTTCTAGATGTTTCCCACTAATTGACAATTCGGACTGAATTGCATGCGTTTCTGAGAATGCAGTCTCAACATTCAGCTGCAATGCCCATGACGCGCTCCTCACCCCAGGGACGACATTCAGTGACATGGGATCCCCATCTGTGCTCCATAGCGGAAACCATTGGGGGGTGAAATGAGTTCGGACCGCGCGAATTGGGGCTTCTGATAGGAGGCCACGTTCGGTCCGGCAGTCTTTATGAGGCCCCTGTCCCTGACTCGACTTCAACCTAACAGCGCATCGACCGACGACGACAGTGACCATTCTGGGGCGTATCCAGGCATTTTGGCTCTATTCGAGTGCTGGAAGAAGCTCGTGGCTGACATTATTCGCTATTGTTACAGTGATTCTCTCCAACCTGACCAACAGCCGTGGTACTGGTTGCTTCATTCACAAACGAACTCGAACTCTGACAACTAACGGAGGCGTACTGCACAAGAAAAGATGGACAGGCTGAAGTCGCTGTGGCCGCCCACACACGCGTACAAGGAAGTTCGCACCAGCCAATCTGATGACGATGAGCGACAATCCGAAGGCTCGGAGGAGAACCTGCGCGAACAGATCGCAACCTTGGAAAGCAACGTCTGGTGCCTGCGCGTGAGCTTGCTAATAACAGTCGTGGCTCTCATGCTAGTGACTGTATTTGCTGTCTTTGATCGTGTCACGTCCGTCAGAGATGCCCATAAATGCGGGCATATCGGTAGCGATCACAGCGGCTTCGTCCCGCCAGGTAAGAATGCAAAGTCCCGGGATTGGGAGGGCAGCTAGCTAACAGGGGCACAGAAATCGGCGAACCAGGAAGATGGACAATTTTCGACAAGTCTTCTCCGTATTATATCGAGGAGGACACGTTTTACGACCTGAACAAGACGAGAATGGTCGTCAAGAAGCTGAAGAGCTTGCATAACTGTCAGCCCTTTCGTGGTCGCTGCAGGGTTAATCACTGCTAACAGTCCGAGCAGCTTCAAATGTCTTGGTCAACGACAACTGGGCGGATTGGCACAAACCTGATGGCACCGTTGCAAAACTGCCGGCGTATTATTCAACGGTATCATACCGACAAACTTACATCATCCGCTCTTTTCATCAAATGCACTGCCTCGTGAGTTTGCAGGATACCGGACGGGCCATTTTCGACTTTTACTGACTGAAGTGACAACAGATTTCCATTACCGAAGAATACGGTCATCGCGTTCACAACGTCTCGTCACAATGGGCTCCTCAACACGTCGCCCACTGCCTGAACACTATCCGCGAAGCAATCATGTGCCTTGCGGATGCATCTCCGATGACCTATGTCAACGGCTTCGCGGTGGGGCACGTCACTGACGACCAGAAGTTCATGTGCAGAGACTGGTCTGCTTTAAGGAAGTGGGCAAACGACCCTGTCAGAGGCGTGCGATACAAGAATCTGGCGTCTGAAGGGGGGAAGCACGACAACTACACTGAGATCATCCCGTTCCCGAAGTTGTCCCCGGATGAAGAGATTGGACTGGCCTGAGAAATCCTCAAACATTGGATAATTGAGCTTGGAATTTTCCGTTGCATGTAGCGAAGCAATCGTTAGACTCATTGTAGGAAAGGTACATGGCATATTTGCAACTTCACAAAATCTTACTGAAGAAGGTCCGTAGTTACTGTTAGTTGAGAGAGTTCTCATCCTATTGTGAGCAACACCACAGAGGATAGACTTTACACACCGTCCCCCCTCGAGTCGATAGTAGCGAGATGTGCATTGTTGTCATTGGACAGAAAAAGATATGGATAGTAGACATGCATTGAAAAAAACCTAGAACTGGCTTTTGATGCAAGATCATGACCTCTTCAATGCACGCTCTGCTGAATGGAAGACATTTCCAGCCAAACGGTCATAAACTTCATCCGATTAGACAATCCACCTCGTGAGGTTCGTTGTACACCCTCGTAATGTTCGGCAGGTCAATCTCCCAAGATTGAGGAATGCCATTGTACAGAATACAATGCTCGACGTGCTTGGGATCTCTGCACAGCGAGTCCAACACTCTCGGCTTGAAGTGCGAAGCATACGTGATCCTGTCCCACACGTAGCTGCAGTGCATGTGGTGAACCGTCCCGTCCGTGAAAATCTCCCCATGCTCCCCCTTGGCCGCCACGTCAAAAGGCACCTCGTTGATTCGCTCCCGCTCGTACCAGAAGGTCGTGTTCCGCCACTTCATGTAGCCCAGGTACCGTTCGTGCATCTCCTCGTTGAAGCATTTCGGATGCATCCACGTTGAGAGAACAAAGTCGTAGACGCAGCCCCGGGCTTTCGACTCTTTCCAGTCTGGAGAGCACTTTCCGAGAGAGATGGGCTCGGGAGGCCGCGAAGGGGTCATGTCGTGGGTTGCGCGGCCGAGGTAGAAGATGGCGACGGCGGCTGGGATGAGAGCTGCTTTGCCGATGACGGACCATATGCGGCTACGGTGGGCTTTGCGCTTGGTGATCACCTTGGAGGTGTATTCGACGGAGTCGGTCTCATCATGGTAGCTGCTACGCCCCGCGGTGGTTTCTTCGCTTTCTCGCTGCTCGTTTAGGAGTGTTTGTTTCTCCATATCGAAGTCTGTGGTTGCTCTTTAGCGCCTGTGAGATTGTAAGGCTGAGAAGCGCTGAATACCGTTAGACATGACAATACTCACTTCACTCAAATCTTCGGCTAGTTCGTCTTGGTGAAAGCCTAACGATGGGATGAGCAGGGGTTGACGATGAGTTGGGAGGGCAGTGGGTACTCCCAACTTGTGCCGGACTGAGCCAGCAACTGTGTGCAGCCAGATTAAAGTTTGGACAGCATTTCGGACCGCGGATGCCACCCTCGTCCAAGGACTCGGAGCTGCAGAAGACAAACCAATGGGAAAGCTGACAGAGATTGGACATTGCTGTGGCCTGGGATCTGTTGAAGGAGACACCCTCGTTCTGAGTTCGCGCAACGTGCTGGCGACCCAACAGTTCCCCGCTCGAATGTCACCAACAATACTGTGAAGCCTTACCGGAGCTATCTTCGAACTCACATTTCGATCGTCATTTTGGTTCTTGCCCGTGGCGTCCTTCCTCTCAGCTCTCACACTGCATTTGGAGCTTCACAAAGGACATCCACAGCACTTCAGCCGCCGCAATGCCTGCCGCCAATCCAGTCCTAATCCAAGACTTCCCGCGCTCTCGCAGCGAGCCGCCGCCGATTTTCCTCATCCACGATGCGAGCGGTCTGCTAACAAGCTATTTCAAAGTCGGCACTCTGGGCCGGAAGGTATACGGTATCTGGGATCCAAAGTTCGATGCCGATGGTATCGGTGGATGGCAAAGCGTTCGGGACATCGCTGAAGCGTATGTCCGCCTGATCAAGCGGGTAATGCTGAGAGGCGAGATCGTACTCGGTGGTATGTAGATGTCAGCAACGTACCGAGCCATTTCCTGACCCAAATCCTCCTCAGGCTGGTCTTTTGGAGGCGTTCTCTCCGTGCAGATCGCCCACATGTTGGCTACATCAGGGCGCGGGCTTCGCGTATCACGAATCATCCTCATCGATTCAGTCTACCCGAGATGCCCGCGTCCCGAAGCCCAAAAAGAGCCCGCGAAACTTCATCATGCGCCAGCTCTGCCTGGTGTCAATGAAGAGACTCGTGACAAGTTGATGACGGCGCTAATGAGAGCGACATGCCTCTCCGATCAGTGGGACCCTCCACAGTGGTCGATGCCGAGGACGGGAGTCCTTGGAACGGCGCGGTCGTACGGCGTTGACCCAACGCCACCGCACGCGATCTTGATCAGAGCAAAGGATATGGTGCCGATGGCTGATCCTGGCGAGAAGTGTCCGCTCGATCGAACCAGGTTTCTGCCGCAGCTCGGTTGGGAAGACATGCAGGAGGGCTTCGTGGAGCAGGTCATTGAGACGGCCGGAAATCACTACAGCATTTTCGATCAGGAATATGTAAGTTGCACAAAATTCCCCACTGACAAATCAGTTTATTGACCAGTTCGCTCGTAGATCGATGGTATCACGGCACATATCAGGAAAGGTTTAGACATGGCGTTAGACTAGGTTCGCAGAAACCGGGTATGACGTTGAACATGTCGTCTCTGCAGGAATGGTTGTTTCACGTACCAATAGAAGTTGATGACTTTCCAATATTCTCCGTTGATCCTTGATATTAGTCCCCTGCGGAAAGTGTTCATGCCCATCAAGTGCTAATGTGAATACTGTCTACGTAACGCTAAATTTCCTGATGCATCGACGTCTTAACCCGCAATGATGTGAAATGGGGCAAAATGATGCATGTCTAGTGATCGCGTTACGGCCAAATCTGCTCGTACCGGTCCTTCTCGTCGTCCGGTGCCACGTTCTTCCACTGCACCGCCCGGACTGGATCGTGAGCCCACTCCCTCAGCGCGAAGAAATCACGGCAATGAGACTTCTGATCGTCCGTTGTATGTCCAACTCCCATTCCATGCACGTATGATATCGGTGTTGCGTCAGCCAGGCAGGTCACGGCTGACCGGACCGTGTTCAGGCAGTGGATAACATGCCCAGGCTCCCACTTAGACGTCTTGTTGAGAACTCGGTAGCCGATGTCTTCGAAGATGATAGACTGAAATGCAGTCAGCACCGAAGCATGTACAGTTTATTGAGACGTCAACTTACAACGCAGTGCATTTGGTGGAAGGCTCTGATGCTGTATAATTCGGACCCTTTTCTTGTGACATACGGGGGCAAAGGTTGCCTGTCATCGTTAAAGTCCATGTACGTCGTGTATTTGCCATTGATCTGCACATTCGAAGCTGCCAGCAGAATAAATAGTCAGTAAAGAACAGTCTCGCAAATCGGGCGGCTGAGCCTGGCGTACCGTTATGTAGCATCTTGAAATCTCTGGCTGCAGCTTGCACCTTCTCAATGCTGTCGAATACATCGGGCGGGAAAAAGTGCGGATCGGTATCATCGTCGTACTTCATCCATTTTACAGGCTGTCCGATTTCTGTTCCATTCGCCAATTAGCAAATTGCACATGCCTAAATTCGTCCAAAGAATCCGTAGCCGTACCTGGAGGAACGAATCCACTGGGATCAACACCTAGTGGAACACCACGTTCTTTTGGCCACACCAATTGAAGTCCCAGGAACACCACCAAGCCGAAAAGCATGGCGATGATTACGCCCTCGACCCATACAATCTTTTGAACCCGGCGTAGCCGTTGATCCCAAAGCATCCGGTCGTGATTCCACTCATCGGGAAAAGTGGGCGAGTGTCCGTGGCCGTCCCGGCCTTCCAGCTCCATACCGTCGAGACTGTCAAGCTCATCGTCGGCATCTGCCTCCTCGAGAGCGCTGTATTTCATCCGCTCCATATCTTTTGCAAACTTCACGCTCTTGCTCTTACCCATGGTGACTAATCAATCGTCTGGTCAACAATGCGTTTAACGGATAAGGTGATGATAGTGGCTGCGCGAGCCCAGATGACAGGTACTGCACCACCACAACCACCGAGACTTCGACTGACACCTGCAAGCGATTGCTGTCGTAACCCTCAGCAGCGGACCGAAGGGGCAAGGTTTATGCGGTTGTTTCAATTGCGGCCAGGTACCCACAGCGGACCGAAGACACCCATGGCGACCGCTTTGGGAGCTCCGAGTCAGTCCACCTCCAGACAGCTAGCTCCCCCTCCCTGGAACTCCTCCCTGGAACCAAAGGGTCCAGCTCGTTCAGCGCTCCAGATGATCGTCTTTACTGGCATTACATCGATCTCCCACTAGTGACAGCAGCATTGTATGTCGCCACGGGAGACACTCACACTACAAGCACAAACGTCCCCTCAGCAGGATTCAGGAACAGCAACCCACCGGCGATGGATGGAAAGAAAGATGAAGTGACATGGAGGTCACTCCCAAGAAAAGATCAACTGGCGATTCTGTGCTTTTTACGGTTTGCCGAGCCGGTCGTTAGCATCTCGTTGCTTGTACGTGACGTCCCGGCGGCACAGTGATGGGGCCTGTGAACCGATCATGCTGACTTGAGCGTGACAGACCTATCTTTTCTACCAGCTTCAATCATTAGACCCTAATCTGGACTCGGGCGCAGTCGTCCGGCAAGTTGCGTACATGCAAACGAGCTTCATGCTCTCGCAATGCTTCTCGTCGATGTTCCTCGGAAGACTGGCAGATTCCCATCGAGGAGGACGAAAGCCGGTGCTCCTTTTGGGAGTGGCTGGATCACTGATTGGCTGCGTTTCATTTGGCTTCATCACCAATTTCAAGCAAGCGCTGGCTCTACGCATTCTCGAAGGCCTCGTCAACGGCAATGTCGCAACCATAAGGACCATGGTCTCGGAGGTTGTAGCTGAAAAGAGGTGCGTAATCTTCGTTGATGATTCTTAAAGCCACGTCCCAAGGGGAAATTTCTAACAGGAAAATCAGATACCAGCCGCATGCCTTCTTGTTGCTTCCAATCTCGTTCAACGTCGCTGCGATGTTCAGTCCCCTGATGGCTGGACAGTTAGCGGACCTCGCAGGAAAATACCCTGAAAAGTTCGGGAACAACGCTTTCCTGAAGGCGTGGCCTTACGCACCACCTGCACTATTGAGCGGGTTTTTCCTTCTGATTGCGTTCGGCGCCGTCTTCTTCTTCTTAGAAGAGGTAGGTGACACTCGACTCATGTCCATCCAGACCAATGTCTAATTATTTGGCTCTGCTGTAGACTCTCGAGCCGCTCAAAGATCGCTACGACCCGGGCATTGCTTTCACGAGAAAGGTCAGCGCAATGATATTTGGAAGAAAGGTTCCATCAGCGAGCAGAGTCGCGCAGGAGGAGGCTTCGCACGAGGAAATGTCCCGCATGATCACCGACGATGCGGAGGCAGCAGAGGAGAGGGATTCTGAAGAGCACCCTGAATCGCTAAAGCCCGCCAAACCCCAGCGAATTCTTCCACTGAAACGGATGTTCACCAGGAACATGTGTCTGACGCTCGTGTCATACGCAATCCAGGAGTACCACATAACGACCTACAACACGCTATGGACGAGCTTCCTCAGCGATCCAGTTGACACAAAGAACCAAGCTCGATTGCCGTTCTTCTTCTCAGGCGGCGCTGGAATGAAGCCTGATCGCATCATGTGGTCTCTATTCATCGTGGGCGTGATGGGACTTCCGACGCAATTGTTCATATACCCCCGCATCAACCGCCGCTTGGGGACACTGAAAATGTGGCGGACCTTCATGATGGGCATGCCTTTGCTCTACTTCATCATTCCGTACATCGCAGCCGCCCCATCCACTAAGGCTCCGCCGGCAGGTAAGGAGGGCTTTTGGGTCTGGTTCCTCATTGTCTTGGCCCAAGTTCTCATGGTCGGAACTTCGACATTTGTTGTTCCCGCACAGCTGGTGTTGACAAACCTGTAAGTTCCACAACCCCGGTACGATTATTTTCTTGATGGACTCTGACCAACATCAGGTCCTCGCCCCATCCATCCGCTCTAGCACGAACACACAGCAGCGCCTTTCTTCTCACCGGCTTGGTGAGGTCAGCGACATCGTCGATTGCTGGCGTTGTATATAGTTACGGATCCTCGCACAACATTACAGGCCTCGTTTGGTGGATAGCTAGCGCAGTAGCTGCAGTGGGATGCCTGAATAGCAGGATTGTTAAGGAAGGAAACGGCCATGAAATCTGGCTTACGGGTGACACCGAATAGCTCTCTCCACCCTGCAAACCGTATCGATGAAATCGAAGCCTAGACCAGACTTTGATAAACGGGCGAATAGAAGTGGAAATATCAACGGTACTGTGCACAAATTGCAAACGATGATTTCCAGCTCTTGCACTGATGTGGTCATTACGTTGTACTCAAAGGTGTGCATCGCGTCGGACAATGAAGTAAAGGAGTGACAGTTTCTACAATAGATCGAAACGAAAGACTATCCTTTTGACGTACAGTACAGTTCATCTTATTTTGCTCCAAACAAGACAGGAGATGTTCTCAATCTGAACTCCGCCAAATGTCAGGCCTTTAGTCCATGTCTTCCTCAGTCATGAAGCCACGTTTCTCCATGTCATCGGTGACGAAAGATCGCTTGTCCTCGGTCACAAAGCCCCTCTTCTCGGGCTCCGTAACGAAGCTACGCTTGTCTTCGGTGACAAAGCCCCTCTTCTCGGGTTCAGTAACAAAACCCCTCTTCTCAGTAATGAAGGACCTCTTCTCCGGCTCAGTGACGAAGCCACGCTCCGTGACGAACGATCTCTTTTCCGGCTCAGTCACAAACCCCCGCTTTTCCTCCGTCACGAATTCTCCCTTCTCTGGCTCTGTAACGAAGGACCGCTTCTCTTCAGTCACAAAGCCCCTTTTCTCCGGCTCAGTGACAAAGGAGCGCTTTTCCTCCGTCACGAACCCCCTCTTCTCAGGCTCCGTAACGAAGCTCCGCTTGTCCTCAGTGACAAAGCCTCTCTTCTCGGGCTCCGTCACGAAGCCCCTTTTGTCGGTAACAAAGCTGCGCTTCTCTGGCTCGGTTACAAAGCTTCTCTTGTGTGGTTCGGTAATGAAAGATCGTTTCTCAGGCTCGGTGACAAAGCTTCGCTTGTCCTCGGTTACGAATCCCCGCTTCTCGGGCTCCGTCATAAAGCTCCTCTTATCCTCAGTGACAAAAGATCGGGGATCTGACTCATATATCAGTACTGGGCCGCCTTGCATGCTTGGAGTTCCGGGGAAAGGCGTAGACACACCAAGGTCATCGGTCACAAAACCACGCTTTTCGTCTCGCTGGATCGCTGGAGCACCGAAGGAGGCAGCCACCAAGCTGGCGATGGAGATGATGGTTGAGACTCTCATGTTGTGCGGTGAAGAGATTGATGGGTTTCAATTTGATGTATTGTTCTTGCGTGTGTTGATAGCACTGATCTGACCGGCACATTTGCGTAGATGGGTTCGACCACATGTGTTCATATATGCTGTCGGCATCTGGTACCTCGTCAACTATATTTGCCGAACTACAAGTCTGCTACGTCAATAGACATGCCATTAGTGATTCCGCAGTAATGTATTGGTCACCTTCACCGGAGCTTACCGATATTTTACTAAGGTTAAACCCGCATGCTAGAGTCGGTGTATTTCGAAGTTCCCGTAGCATCGTAACTTCAACAAGCATGTTACACACTTGTCGTACAAACGAGGCCTTTTGCTTGGTTCCGTTCAATATGGCACAGAACTATCGAACGCACGTAGATTATCCAGACGCCGGGGAGACTGCCTACATCCGCATACTGGAACCTAATTTTGGCGTGTGGGATGACGGAAGTCAAAATCGAGGCAGGTGGGATGCTTTACGGCTTGAATTAAACTCCCGCGGAAGGTATGTTTCCAAACACATCAGGGTTGCTTCGTTTACAAAGCGAATGGTGAGTGGACAATACAATTTCGGTTTCGGCACGGTGGACGAGAAGCTGATGCTCATAATCATGTGTCTACTTGTCTCGGTAAACTATTGGTTTCTTCGTAATAGTAGCTGATCACCAGTCACCACCCCATACTCCAGCACGGCACGATTGACTCGAGTCTTGGGCATCATACGACCTAACGAATTATGGCTATTTAGGAAATTGTTGTGAACCTGCAACTTAATAATAGTTCACACCCTACCTAGCACATACACCTGGTACTGAGATCGCGCCCTAACTTCCTGATCAAGAAACTATTCTCCTACAATGATTCCACATGCTGCATATTACCAGCCCCTGTGATCGAACTCCTTGTTGGACCCATGGAGATGCGAATGCTCATGGACATCAGCAAGCTTCCCGCCTTGATCAGACCCTTTCTTGGCCCCTGGCCTGAGGTCAAACTGGTGAACCGATATATCGCTTGGTGGCCTGCAAGAGGTGAATCGCGGCCAATAAGGCATGCTGACGTGTTCCTTCGGTCTCGCATAGTCCTGCATCAGTGCGTGGTCGAGGCACTGGTGGTAGTCGATGGTTCCAGACACAAGCCCGTGGACAATTTTCACCTCTTTTTTCCAGATGAATGCGCAAGAGTAGAGATGGAACTCCCACGTCGTCCAGGCCTGTGCACTCGTTCCCGTTTCCACGTCAGTCCATGACAGCTGCGTGGTCGCATTGCGATCCGTGAAGAAGATCCATGGTTTGGCGGCACGAAAGTCCGCATCCAGGGCGGCGTCGAAACAGTTAGGGGGTTGCCATGTAGCCGTGTAGGATTCAAACTTGCATCCTCGAGATTTTGCCGTGGAGCTGTCTCTGCCGCAGGGCCATTTGTCTGCCATGAGACCGGTCACAAGGCCCAGACCCTTGGTATGTCCAAGGGTGACGTCCTCGATGTGGGCTGATGGATCAGCTGCCAGAATGAGGCTGATGAGAACAAAGGTTGCGGACCCTATGAGAAAGAGAAGTACCTTGACGCACAGCGGGAGGGCGGTGCTCCGAGGCATCATCGGGCTGGGAATGTCGTTACGGTTGGCCATGCTATGGTGCTTTCAACAGAAAGAAAGGACAGAAGCCATAGTCGCGTAGATAGTATCAGCAGCGAGAAGGATAACGAAAGCAATGAGCAAGTTAATGTAATCCTTGTAGAATGAAACTAAGCGCCAGTCTTCCCCTCGACTAAAACACCTACAGCGAACCTTCCACCGCACGACGCACTCAGAGCCCAACGCTCTCGCATCTACACTTGTAATAGACATAGCCTCGGTGTGGGATCCCGACTCTCAAACTCTAGTGTATTGTAGTCTATTGCTAACGATGATGTCAGCCATATGAGGAGAAAATAATCTATCATGGGAATCTTCGAAGCCGTTGCGGGGTTGCATTGTGGCCAGAGCGACAACATGCAACAAGGATCATGGGACTCGGGATATAAGCGGTTATGTGACAAGCTTTCTTGGTTAAGCTTCCCGCCGCGGGAGCTAATTCGGGTACATGCCCCTCGCGCTCAGACTATAAGGTTATGGTGATCAATCAACTTAGGAAGTATCGAGAGCGAGCCCGCGCGGGGACGGTGTGTGTATCGGATTCTCTCTCCGAATGAGCGATCCATGTTCAACTCTCTAGACTTAGAGAGCATGCTATCACGCATGTCGAATCCGAGGGCGACTGCCACACCTTCTCGCCTTGCTTGATTTATCTTCATCACAACCATAGCAATGTCCCCCAAATCTCACCACACAGACGAAGGGTCGGAAGAGCGACTTCTATCCTCAAGGGGTAGTAGCCACGACGACGAGATACTTGAGGAACTGGCAGCACAACAAGCAGTTGACCGCAACGCGCGACGTCGGCCATGGAAGAAGATCTTAGAAGGCGTATTCTACGTTTCTGCAGGAGTTCTCGCAGGATTTCTTGTTGATCTCATCATGTCTCATTGGCATTTCCCAACAGACAACTCTGTCTCAGTACCGGAGTGGACAGTCATCGACGATGGCCAACAATTCCGCGCCTGGGCACCATCCGCTCAGTGCGGAGACACTCCGGAGAAAGCCATAGCTGCAGGCTGTATTTACGACGATGTTCTCCTGCATTGGATGCCACAAGCTTGCTCGTCCCCTGAGCTCATAGATGAGTTCGAACATGTGTGGCCGTGGGAATTCTTTGAAGATCAGAATGCGACGAGCCAAATATCCATCCCAGACGTGAGAAAGGGAACGCAGGACATCAAATGGGTTTCTATGGATTTACATCGTTGGCACTGCGTTGCAACCTGGAAAATTCTTAGTAGTGCAGCTCGATGGGGGACAACGGTGCCGGGTTATTCAGTGAACTGGAATCATTCTGTTCATTGCGCGGATCATGTATTGATAAACATGCACACGCATGACCCTTTTACGATCAACTCTCATCTTGATATTGAGTACACACCTTGTGTAGCTATCGCGGAGGACAGAACGATTGCACGGGCGAAAACGTGGTAGATCGATGCGCACATGGTTCTATCACAACACGGAAATCTGAACTACACCCCAATTCCATATTGTTCGTTTTCAGAGTACACAAACAATTTGAATATTTTCATTGTACTTGGCATAGTAATTTGCGTATTGTACGGTTGCTTCTAAAAGTACAGGCATGCAAGTATCTACAGCTTCACCGGGAAGCGTGTGCGCACTTCTTCTCCGTATCTCTGCAATAAGAGAGGCACCGGACAAAATAGCAGTGCAATGAACCCTAGGAGGCTACTACCCCATCCGAGACCCAGATGATCAAACAGAGGTTCGCCTGCCAGAGGTAAAAATGTGCCGACAATACATCTGAAGATGGTTGCTGCTGCAATTGCTGACGCGGCAAACTTGGTAAACGCATCAATAAGGTACGTATGCAGGGGCATCTGCGTTTGAGTGAGAAACTTAGAAACAGTATGGTGGTTTTTGGACATACCATTACTAAAATAAGTCCGACACCAAGGATGGCCGACCCTATTATGGGCAATATCCAGTGTAAGTGGTACTGAGCCGTCCACCCGTAGAAGAAGAGCCCCACGGGAGTAAGTAGAATAGACCGTGCCATCAGTGGCAGGCGATACTCTGGCATGCGATTTCCATTGTTTTTCTTGGTCCGAAGGTTGGCCATGCGATCATTGAATATTCCGTTGCTGATGGCGCCTATACTGAAGCCAACCCCCAACCCAAGGTAAACTAGGCCGACGGTTCCGGTTGTAAAGCCATACTCTGAAGTGAAGACGTTCGTAAAAGTGGTGAGAAGGATATACTAATATTTGGTGAGAAAGTTGAACCATCTAGCTGGGGTTTTGTGACTTACAGTGTATCCGTATGCTAGCGCGAGAATGGTAGATAAAAGGAGAACAATAGGACTGAAAAAGAACATCTTTAGGGGGCGGACTAGCGCATTAAGGAGCAAAGTTGAGACTGGTGCAGCTGTCATCTGGCCAGGGACGACGAAATTGAGCTCCGGATGTTGTTTCTGGAGAGCAGCGGCTTTCTTTTGTAAAAGTCGCGGAGGATATGTCTCACGTAGCCCGAAGAAGGATATGACCGTGAACGCGCCGGACTAGTGCCCATCATGTTAACTACACGGATCGAACGAGAGCAGCTGAATTGCGACATACCGGAATGGCTGTCAACCAAAAGATCCATCTCCATCCCAGGCCTTGAGTGATGTATCCAGCAGCCACGGGGCCAATGGCCGGACCAAGCATGGGCCCAACAAAGTAGACGGACACAACCACTCCACGACGCTCCGGTCGGATGAGGTCTGCGATGGTTCCACCGCCGATGGCTAGCGGAGCTGCGCCCGACGCGCCAGAGAGAAAGCGAAAGATAATGAGCGCCGCCAGGTTTGGTGATATCGCACTTAAGATGCTGAAGAGAGTGAACGTGACGTTGGAGATATGATACAAGACGGCTCTTCCGTATACCTCGGACAGAGGTGCAAACATTCTGGCGTCGTGTGAGACACGTACAAATGATGCATAGCACTTTGATCAAACTCACATTGGGCCCACGGCGTACCCTAAGATGAAAATGGATACTATGAATGATGATAAAATCTGACTGTCGCTGTGGAACTCTGCCATCATGTCTGGAACACCGGGAGCACACATCGCAGACGCCACGGACCTATGTCGCTGTGAGTGATAGCATCGTGACATGATTTCAAGGGCTGTGACTCTTACGCTATGAACGTGAGAATACTGACAAGACCGACATTGATGAACTTGTCCAATGCGGGCCAGTTGATAGGTTTGCTCTTGTCATCTTCCCCGTCCCAATCAACGACGACATTTCCTTGCTCGTCCTGTAGCTCAATGTTGACCTCTTCGGCGCGCTTCTCGCGAACCTTTTCGCGGAACATCTTGAGTATCAATGAGAGTTGCTGCCCCGAGAATCTCCCCAAAAGGCCGGGAGTGAACGAATGCAAGACAAGATCACAACTTGCCGAACACGTTCGATATGCAAATGACCCAGTTGTGACCTAGCACAGGCGGGATCTTTCGCTTTCTGGTTGAAAGTACTGACACACAAACACTGATCTGGAGGCTGCGATGCAAATTCGAGATCCGCACGGAGGTAGCTGCGGGAGTATCCTTCGCCTAACCACAAGGGAATCGCGCCCGACCATCAGCTGGCACTTCTTCCCCGAGGCGCCAACCAGGATGAATATTGAACGAAGTCGGCATAGTCAGGATACCCTAGGACTGCTAGGAATGCAGCAAGGTTTGCGATTTAGCCGCCAGTCAGACGTTCCAAAACTCTTTACGTACGTAGCATCTATGGGACGTAAATGTGCAGATCATATCGGCTATTGCGGCAACCTTCGCTTAGGGAGAGAAGAAACTTTAGACATATTGTTGCAAACTCTCAACTTCATACGTGTTGCCCGGTCCATGTCTTCCGATACTCTCGGTTAAGATGAATGTAACAGGAGACTGAGTTCGATCATCCCAAGTCTCCACCACCCACACCAGAGAGGGGAAACTGCAGCTTTGTGGGGGTTGATTGACAGCGATTGAACAAACTCTGACATCTTCTGGACAGCCAACGGCGCAAAGCCAATCGATTAAATCATCAACTCTGGCTTGCGTCAGACTCAGACCGAGTTTATCTTGGTTCTCCGCCAGCGAAGAAGTTTGCGTACATACCCTCGTAGTAATATGGGTTTAACACACGTGCTCTCCGGAGAGTAACAACTCAAGCAGGGGCGTGCCCCACACGGGGACTTAAGCAAAACTTCCGTCTGAACGAAGACCTGAAACTGCCTGACAGAGAACGTTTCCTATTGTACGTAGTAGTGATCCAGATCGGTCTTCTGTGTCCCAAAGCGATGTTATGCACAGCACTGAAAGCTACAATAACCATGTTCATGTTGTACAGTAAACTTAGAAGGCCTTGTAGTAATTGAGTCTTGATCTAGCGCAGGAGGCACAGAGAATCATGGGCTGTCTGATGCGGTAGCCAAAAACACCCTTTGAAGACCCGAGTCTCTCAAATTACCCCCAGTCCAGTCAACATGGCCAAAACCAGCAGCCTTGAACGAATCTTTCCACACCATCTCATCCGCCGTCGCATGTGTCCGGCCGTCTTTGAATAGCCACCAGCCTTCGAATAGGCCGAACACAAAGTCTGCCCAACATAGCCGTTCCTGCACCTCCATCACGACCGCAAACCCATCCGGACGAAGGAATTGTCGCGTGTTGCGGAGTGACTTGACCATATCGGGAGTGGCATGAACGGCATTTACCGCAATTACCATGTGTTGAGTCCCAATTAACTCCGCGGGCGGCGGTTTCTCGATATCTTGCGTCCGGAAGGTCATGAATGGATAATCTTGAAACTTCCGCGCGGCTTGGGCAGTGAAACCGCCGGCAAGATCCGTGAATGTGTACCCTACCGGTACGCCTGACTTGGCGAGCAGCGGCGCGAGCCATTTTGTCGTGCCGCCAGTGCCAGCACCGAGCTCGAGGATCTTCAGTTGGGCCCCGGACTGCACATCAATGTTCTTCGTGAAACGGGTCATGAAGTCTTCCATAAGCTTGTGAAAGGCTTTGCTGGGATGGGCGGCTCCGTAGATGTCTTCGAGATACTCTCGGCCTTCTGGCGAGCCGAAAATCGATCTCACGCCGTCTGTACGGCCAGCGTAGATTTCTGCAAGATTGTTGCCTGCATGTGCCACAAGTTTATTAAGTGACGTGTATGTTGGATAGTCGTTCAATATCGCCTGAAGGGCCTCTTTCTCGTTGCCAGCTGGGATTGGCGTGTCTGTTCGAACGTATTGGTCACCTTCTTTACGGATGAGACCGGCGTCTATGAGCGACTCATAGCAGAACTCCAGTTGCTTCTGGACGTTGGCAACAGACTTGATTGGCCGTAGCTTCTGTCCTGGTTTCGTCCTTCCAACGTCACATCGTAGTTTTTGAAATGCTTTGATGATCAGGAGTACAATCAGCTTTTTCTGACGTTCGTGAACATTTTCGTAGTATCCCGCGAATCCGGCTTCCGTAACGATGTTGTCGGTGTTTGACTTTGTTTCTTGGAAAGATGAAAGCGCTGTGGCGTAGGGCACCACGAACTGTGGCTCATCACCGGTCGTGAGCTTGCTCTCAGATGCCCCTGTGGCTGGGGTAGGCAGGGTTGTTGATACTTTCGTTGCTGACATGGTAACAGCTGGTTGCAGAGACGTGTGTTTGCCGCCGCGAAATCGAGGCCGACCTGAGTACGAAAGTCCACAATATGAGAACGCGTCCGCTATTCCTGCAGGTTTCCCCCAGATCATGGAGCCTCAGTTGAGCCACCGGAAAGAGACAGGCAGTTCACAGTGATCGAAGTGGGTCATTTTTGACTCCGGTGCGACGGTCCGCTCGGAAAGGACGAATCTCGAAGCGAATCATGAAAATTCACAGCGATTTTGGGAAGGTGGCCGGGGTTTGAGTCATGCGTTCGGTGGTCCACCACCCCTCGTGTCACCACGAGCTCCCCAGGGATTGTGGTGATGCCAGTGCCTGATTGTCTTCAAAGAACTTTCAATGGAAGACTGGCGATTGAAATATCCTCGTTGTATGCAGTGATGAGCGCAATCAAGAACACTCTCGGATATAGTAAATGAACAGCTCGATTCATGAGTCTATCTAAGCTTAAATAGTGTACACCAACTTTCCTGCACTAACGTTGCCTTGCTTCAAGTATTTGATTCCATGCAACACGCCTTCCAGCCCTGAACCGCCTTGATTGACGATTTGTCTCACCGGGCGAAACTTATCCTCTTGAAGCAACTTGTCACTAACGGCCCAAAACATCTTTCCAAACTCATGGTCCTCAGGCCTCGGCTCGACAACCGTTTCCTTCTCAATCGTCTCACCTAAAATTGTGTACCCCAGAGTTGTTGAGCAATTCACTTTGGGGTTGATCTTCTTGACAATTGAAGGCACCAAGTACAACAGACTGCTGTAGTGACCACCCCGGATTGACATTGCAGCTGCACAGATGCGGGCGGATTGAGCTGTTGCGATGCAATCCCATGCATGCCTCAGTCTTCCCTTGGTGAGTGCCTTGATCTGTTCGGAGCAGTCTTCCGCTCTGTAGTCGACGCAAAAGTCGGCTCCGAAGGACTTGACGTAGTCGAAGTTCTTTGGTGAGCATGTGACCACGACAGTGCAGTTAGACATCTTTGCGAATTGGATGCCCATGATGCCGGATGCTGTGCTGCCGCCGTAGATCAGGAGCGGAATGGGCTCAGGCGACGGCTTGGTGGGCAGAGGAAGTTCAAGGGACTGGTATAGTCCTTGGCCCTAAATCACAAATGAGCAACGTTCCGTGACATTTCCTGCAGGCGCACTTACTACTGCGACGAGACCTGAGGTAATTGCGGCAGCTTCGGTGTCATCCACATGATCTGGGATCTTCAACTGAAGGCTGGCTTTGGCGATGAGATATTCGGCAAATGCGCCGTCTTCCTTCTGCCTCACGTTTCTTCAAACATGTTAGCAGGCTGTCTCATGTACGGAATCATTATTACTCACGATCCGTTGACAATGCCGAAGACCCTGTCACCGACTTTGAAGTCCTTATCCACACCATTGCCCACTTCGACGACCACGCCGGAGTACTCGAGTCCCGGACGTGTGCCTGTGGGGTTTCCCACCCACATGAAGTCGATGTGCTTCCAGTCTGACGGGTTTATGGCAACCGCTGTGGTTTTCACCATGATGTATCCATCCCTCAATTTCGGCAAAGGCGCCGTGGTGATTGCGGCCTCGCCACGGCCCTTGATCATGATGGCCTTCATCTCGCTGGGAAGGTTCGACGACATGACTTTTGTTGACTGGAAGCTACAAGACCTGATACAGTTGATGAAGTTTCAAAAAGTAATAAACGCGATTGAGCCACAACAAGTGAATGAAGTATGGTAGACCTGGTGATGATGGGAAATAACGTCAAGTTACCTGCAATGCCAGAGTCAACATGATCTTCGAGAAGCATTCCAATCCCAGTGACAACAGTAATTTCGATTGTGAGTACAGCCTGTTCCTAGCACCCATACGTCTGTACCTGAGCAATCGGAGTGGCCCACCGTCCCCGGAATTGACGTGAGTGTGCCATCCGTTCTTCGGACCGCGCTTTGTGCAGGGGCCAGGCCACGAGCACCTCACGAACAACGCCAATCAGACGGCCAATCAGAAGAAACAATTCTTTGTGACTTTTCGGAATTGGGTATCTGACTTTCGCAATCGTCGGTCTGGACGAATCGGGTGATGTTATAGAATGACGCATTAGACCGAATGCACTATCGTCAGCATCTTGTTCGTCTCTTGTATTAAGAAGCTCTTTCTAGCGTCGAAGTAACTCGCTACTCACGCAAGATACGCCCTTAAACTTCACGATACCATCACACATTTTGACTTCAACTTCTAAGGCGTTGCGGAATCTTATCACTCATTCATATTGACAACATTGGACGATGTCACCCAAGTCGGGCATCACGACGCCGTCGTCCGAGATGGACGCCTCAGATCCCATCGCCATTGTGGGCATGGCCGTCAGGCTGCCCGGCGGTGTCCGCAACACCGAGGACTTTTGGGATCTGATGATGAACAAGCGGAGCGGTCTCATTCCAATTCCCAAAGAGAGGTGGAACAGCGAGGGCTTCTACAGCCCTGTCGCGAAATGGGGAACCGTTCAGAACAAGGAGGCCTACATGTTCAGCCAGGCTGACAATGATCTCACCAAGTTCGATGCCTCGTACTTCACGTGTGGTGAGAAGGAGATTGAGCGCATGGATCCTATGCAGCGTCAGCTGCTAGAGATCACAAGAGAATGTCTGGACAATGCGGGTGAGACCAACTGGCGCGGCGAAGAGATTGGGTGCTACGTTGGCAATTTCTCCTCAGATTGGCAAGATGATTTGTCCATGGACCCTCATGCGTCTGGTCTGTACCGTGGTTCAGGATATCTCGACTTCCTCCAGCCTAATCGCGTGTCTTACGAATATGGCTGGACAGGTCCCAGGTAAGTCTAAGCCCTGTTTCTGATACCCGATGAACATTGTCTAACATGAACCAGTATGCTTGTCAAGACTGGCTGCTCATCTTCCATGGTGGCCCTGCATTTGGCAGCGGAAGCAGTCCAGAGCGGCGCCTGCAAGTCTGCGATGGCCCTTGGCTGCAACCTCATCACCTCTGTCATCACATCCATCGTCTTCACTGAGACGGGTGTCCTCTCTCCGAGCGGCAAGTGCAAGACATTTGACCTGCTCGCTGACGGCTACGGTCGCGGCGAAGCAGTCAACGCAGTTTACGTCAAAAGATTAAGCGACGCTATTAGGGACGGCAACCCCGTCCGTGCAATCCTCCGCGCGAGCGGAACTAATAACGATGGCCGGTCCAACGGAATCATGAGTCCCAACACATATCTCCAAGAAGCACTAATTAGAAAGACATACGAAAAGGCCGGCTTGCCGTTTAACAAGACGGCTTTCTTTGAGTGCCACGGCACCGGTACACCCACCGGCGACCCTCTTGAGGTGGCCGCTGTTGCTCGCATTTGGAAGGATCACGACGGTGTATTGATCGGAGCTGTAAGTTGATCTCGATATCCGAGAGCTGTGTTCATTCGCTAATTCACATAGGTCAAACCCAATGTTGGACACTCCGAAGGTGCTGCTGGTCTTACCAGTGTCATCAAGGCCATCCTGGCTCTTGAAAACCGGGTCATTCCTCCCAATATTTACATGGAGAACCCGAACCCCAGAATTCCCTGGGAGGAGGCCAAGCTTTCAGTCCCGACTGAGCCCACAGCTTGGCCAGCCGATCGCGACGAGCGCATCAGCGTTAACTCTTTTGGTGTTGCTGGCTCCAACGCTCACGTAAGTATGACCCGAGTAATGTCACTCTCTTTGCGCTCTAACCTTCCATAGGTTATCTTGGAGTCTTATGAGGGCTGGCTGAAACTGCAAGATGATGCCAGTTCTGTCAGTTCCGACTCTGGCGTGAGTGTACGCGCTCCTGGTCAACGCTTGCTCCTCTTCTCCGCCGCCCACCAGACCTCTCTGGAGAAGCAAGTGGACCAGCACAAGGAGTATCTCGAGAAGAAGACGTCCGATCTGGATGATCTCGCCTACACTCTCAGCCGCCACCGTGAGCATCTGAGCTGTCGCGCGTATGCCATCGCCGATGAGAACGGTGCATTCGAGCCCAGCAGCTTCAAGCGCAAGCCCACTGTCGCTCGACGAACTGTTCTAGTCTTTACTGGCCAGGGTGTCCACTGGGCCGGCATGGGCAAGGCTCTCATCGAGAGCAACGATGTCTTCCGTGCCTCAATTCGCAAGCTGGATACATGGCTTCAATCTCTCCCCGAAGCTCACCGCCCCGACTGGACACTCGAGAAGGAGCTGTCCATCGATGATGGTTCCAGCAGAGTCGGCCAGCGCGGCTACTCTCACCCATGCGCCACTGCTGTCCAGATTGCTCTCACCGATGTCCTTGCCAGCCTGAACATCAAGCCTGATGCAGTCACCGGTCACTCTGGCGGAGAGGCTGCTGCCGCCTACGCTGCCGGCAGTATCTCCGCCGAAGCTGCTCTGGCAGTCGCCTACTTCCGTGGATGGCTTTTGGTCAACGGCACTGTGCCTCCTGGTACCATGGCTGCTGTTAGTCTCGGCCCCAAGGAAGTCGAGCCGTTCCTCATTCCCGGCGTCGTTGTTGGATGTGAGAACAGTCAGCTGAACACGACTCTGTCCGGTGACCCAGTCTGCATTCAGCACTGCATCGACCAGATCACCCGTCGTCATCCTGACGTCAAGGCTAAGGTGCTCAACCTCGAGACTGCCTTCCACTCTCCATGGATTGAGCCCCTGGCTGGACCTTACGAGGACCTTCTCAAGCCATACCTCGCTGATGCCAAGGCTCCCACAGTCCCTCACTTCTCCAGTGTCACTGGTCTGGAAATGAAGGGAGACGAGTTTGGCGCCAACTACTGGCGCCGCAACTTTGTCCAGCCTGTCTTGTTCAACACGGCGCTTCGCACCCTCATGAGAAGCAACAGCAACAACCTCTTCATTGAGGTCGGTCCCCACCCTGCTCTTCAAAGACCAATGAACGAGATTCTCCGCAGCATTCCCGAGGCCGCCTGCGAGTACATCTCGACCCTCCGCAGAGCTGAGGATACCAACATCTCCATGCTTCGCCTCGCTGGTGAGCTCTTCGTTCAGGGCACACCAGTTGATATGTCGACCATCATCCCCAAGGGCCGAGTTCTGACCGATTTGCCCAACTACCCTTGGCTTCACGATGTGTCCTACTTTGAAGAGCCCAAGAACCCGTCTCGATACAAGCAGAGGAAGCACACCCGCCACGTCCTTCTCGGAGCCAGAGTCCTTGAGGGCAACGACATTGAGCCTGCTTGGCGCAACATGCTGGACCTCAAGGAGGTACCTTGGCTGATGGACCACATTGTCAATGGGCAGATCGTCTTCCCAGGTGCTGGCTACATGGCTATGGCTGGAGAGGCCATGCGCCAGGTCGCTAACGGCCAGGACTCCTACACCATTCGAGACATGTCCATCACTACCGGTATGACAGTTCCCAAGGAGAAGAAGATGGAGTTGTACACCCGTATGATCCCCGAGGACAAACCCAGCGCCGAGGGACAGTGGTACAACTTCAAGATCATGTCTTGCGACGGCCATCACTGGATCACCCACTGCTCCGGATTCATCCGCTCCGGTGCGGAGGCTGAGAAGACCTCCATCACAAGTGCCCAGGCCGAGCAGGAGTTTGCGCGTGAGATCGATGCTGAGGGATGGTACAAGGCTGTCAAGGCTGTTGGTATTGACTGGCAGACTGCGTTCCAAGGCCTTGACCAGATCACTGCCAGCACCACCACTAGAGAGGCTACCGCGACTGTCTACGACTTTGAAGACACCACGCACTATGCGGCTCATCCGACCCTCTTGGATCAAATGCTTCAGATCAACCTCGTTGCACAGACTCATGGACAGAAGAGACGCCTTGACAGCATTCTCCTGCCGACGTTCATCTCCCGTCTGGGTGTCTTGGGTGAACAGGACCTTCGCATGAGAGCGTACGGTAGCATCAAGGACGGTGCCGAAGGCATGACCGCCAATGCTGTCATCTACACTGAGGAAGGTCGCCCGACTGTCTACTTGGAGGGTCTGTCGTACTCCGAGCTCCCAGTCGCCAAGCGTGAGGAGGTCTTGCTCGGTTCTACCTTCGAGTGGAAGCAGGATATTACCATGGTTGACTCTGTCAACGAATTAGAGACCACCGACGCCACTCAAGAGCTACGCGACCTGGTCGGTCTTGTATCATTCAAGATTCCCGACGCCAGGATCATTGAGATTGGCTCCGGAGCAACTCACGTCACTCGCATTGCCCTTGAAGCTGCCCACCCCTCAGAGCACAAGCGCCTGTACTCTGACTACACCTACGTCTGTACCTCTGAAGAAGAGGTCGAACAGGTGACAGAGGCTCTGAATGAGGTGGAGGGCAATGAGGTGTCTGTCGTAGACATGGAGCAGCTCTCGCTTTGCAATGCTGCCGACGTGGTCCTCCTACCTTTGGCCACTTTGCTGTCTGATGACCGCTACCTGCTGGACGACTTGACTGAGTTGAATGGCCTTCAAACAGTTGGCGGTAGACTCCTTGTGCACAACTTTGCCGGCAACTCCGACGCTCAGACTGACGAGGAGAAGATCAAGCAGCGCCTGCAGAGCCTTGGCTACAAGTTTCACTCCCAGACCAGCTCTGGCCTGATCCTTGCTGAGCCCACTAAATCTGCCGACCTCGACCAGAAAACCAAGATCACCATTCTCGCTCAGGATACCACCCAGGGAAGCAAGCTTGCGAAGGATGTTCAGACCTACTTCGAGGGACAGGGCTTCAAGGTTCACATCTGCAACGACAAGACCGTCCCCTCAGAGAACTCCTTCACGATTTCACTACTGGACGTGGACAGCACAACCGTTTACGACCTCAACTCCGAGTCTTTCCGACCATTCATGGACAGTCTCTGCAACCTGAAGGGCTCTCTCGTCTGGGTTCTGCCCTCTGTTCATGGCGTCTGCAAGGATGCCCGCCCGGCCATGATCCAGGGTACCGCCAGAACCGTCCGCATGGAAAACAAGGCGGACATCACCCTCGTCGAAGCCGATGACCTCTCTATTGCTGGAAGCAACTTCGCCAAGGCTATCTACAAGATCTGCCAGAGCCTTCCCAAGAGGCGCAAGGGCGGTGACCTGGATGCCGACTACGACTATGCTATTCTGAACGGCAAGGTGCACATCCCTCGCATGTACTGGTTCGGCTTCTCAGAGCCTGCTGTCAGCAAGTCTCTTCCCGAGACCAAGGATTCCCCCATGTTCCGCGACGACGCTTCCTACCTCCTCGTCGGAGGCTTTGGAGGTCTGGGTCGATCAGTTGCTACCTGGTTGCTCGAGCACGGTGCTCGCAACTTGGTCTTCCTTTCCCGATCCGCTGCTAGCGCCCAGAACGAGCCCTTCGTCAAGGAGCTGGAGAGCTACCCTGGCGCTGTCATCAAGACCGTGTCGGGTGATGTCAGCAATGCGGAGGATGTCCTCAAGGCCATCAACGAGGCTCCTAAGCCCGTTGCTGGAGTGCTTCAACTTTCGCTGATTCTCAAGGTAAGTCACATCTTCGTCTCATCATTCCCACATACATGATCTAACATTACTGCAGGACAACTCCACTGCGGAGATGACCTACGAGGAGTGGAGTGGTGTTGTTGACCCTCGTGTCCGCGGAACCTGGAACGTCCATCAAGCTCTGGTGGACGCCCAAGTCCCTCTGGACTTCTTCGTCATCTTCGGCTCTGGAGGTGGTCACACGGGATACTACGGCCAAGCCAACTACAGCGCGGCCAACACCTACCTGGATGCCTTTGTCGAGTACCGCCACAACCTGGGTCTCCCCGCCTCCATCATCGACCTCGGAGTCGTCGGCGACGTTGGCTACCTACTCGAGCGCGATGACCTCTACGAGGGCTTCAAGAATGGCGGCTTCTTCTTCCTCAAGGAGCAAGATGTCCTCGACTCAGCCGCCATCGCCATCGGCAACTCCAGCGGAGGCCCGTACAGCAGTTTCTGCCTGGGCGGTTTGTCCGAGAAGCCGTTGTCGGATCCCTCAAACCGCGTCAACTGGAAGAGGGATGTTCGCTTCGCGCAGTCTCACTACTTCCACAAGTCCAAGGCCGCTGTCGCTGGCGAGGCCAAGGAGAGTGACGAGGCGGAGACGTTCATCTCTCTGGCCAGGTCTGATCCCACCACGCTGCGCGACAGCGCCACCGTGACCACCTTGGCTCGCTTCATCAGCGCGACCTTGAGTCATCTGATGCTGAGACCAGTTGAGGACTTCCCTCTTACTGAGAACCTAACTTCAATTGGCCTCGACTCCATCATCTCTATTGAGCTGGTTGACTGGATCCACAACCAGTTCCACATTGGCATGACCTCGATGGAGGTCACTCAGTGCACCTCGTTGATGCATTTGTCGGAGAAGATTATTGAAGAGTTGATTGCATCGGCATAAACATAGATTGAAACATTGACAATTACTGTTCGGGTGCTAAGGAGTTCGGGGGCGTAGGAGTTAGGCGATGATCTTTTCATTGGTTGCAGACACATTTCATAGAGTACCTAGCAGCATTCATATGAGATACACTTTATTTCAACTGATATTCTCCGTATATGTTTCTCAATTGTTTTTGTGGTCTTTTGCATTATGCGCCTGAAGGGGCTTGACAACCACATTGCTCGTCTTTGTCCCCTACCACACAAGTACGTTAATAATCTAGGGAAATAAGTTGGTGCTTGGATGCATGCTACATATGTTGTTCTGTATGGGCCTTTTCGTGATCATTTTATTCTATAGGATTTCATGAAGCGTCGCTCCTGTATCGTGAACGTGCCCCTCATACCACCGAGGAGCTATTGGGTGGCATCTCTACAAGCTCTTCATCAGACTCTTCGTCTTCTTCAGACACACTCTGCTCCACGGCCTGGTACCTAGTCTTTCGAAACCATTGCCACTCTTTTGCAGATGTAACCACAAACAAACTCGTCACCACGCTCGCAATCCCAATCATTGCCAACAGATTCACGCTCGCGCGCCAGATAACCCAGTCAAGCAACAGCGCCCACAATACCTGCGAGTAGATCATTATCGTCGCAGCAGACGAAGAATCATTCGCGATCCCTGCCGTTAGAAGGTACTCCTGGTTCGCGTTTCAGTATGCTGTGATGCACGTGATGAGGGGGTCAAAGCACTCACCATCGTGAAACCAAAGACACCAAGTGGCGTCAATTTCAGCCAGGCGATGGGGTCTCTCGTGAGATGAATGCTCTTCATGAGGATGAATGAGATGGATGTGAGTGAGACAACGGTCCACGCGAAGTAGTTCACGCTGAAGAGCGGATGCGCCCGTGGGCCGATTGATCGGATTGCTGTCAGTGCGACCTGCGGAATCAGCGAAGGCCTTGTCTCCATGGGCAAAATACTCACTGCTCCTCCACAGACGCTTAGTAGACCAAAACCGAAGCCCATCATACGACCCTTCGTGTCTCCCCCGGTGACTGTCTGGGCAGCGCTCAAGATGGCTGCTTTATGGTCGAATAGGCCATCAGGTTGAACGACGAGAATGACGCCAACAAGCGCGACGAGGGCGCCAATTCTATCGACTACTTCAAAGGTGCCAAAGTCCAAGTATCTTATGAGGATCATAGCAATAAGAGGACCAAGGAAGTTGAGCGCAGTGGCTTCACTGAGCTTGAGGTACATGATAGAGACTGGTCTTGTCAATAAGGACTCATTCACACGCCAAGCTGCATTGGACCTTACAGTAAAATCCGAAAGCACCAAAGACACCAGCCGCTGCTCTCAAGGCCAGCAGCGGCCTCAACTCCGGTAGACCCCATGGAAAGCTGGGTGCCTGGGTCCGCCATAGGACGATTGTGGCGCCGATGCCGGTAATGAAGAAACGAACGAAGAGGACTTGGAATGGGTGGATGGGTTCATCGCCAGTCTCTAGGAGCTTGGCCAAGCCATTCAGAGCTGCCGCCGAAATCTGTGAGGCCAGTACCAGCAACGAAGGCTTGTGGCGCTCCAAGAATGAGCGACTCAAGCCTTTGTCCATTTTTGGAGGGGATGCATGGGACGGACGATTGTGCAGGTGCTTTGGCAGGAAACGATGTCCCCTCATCCGCGCGCCCAGAGCTGGGTCTAAAGTCGCCCTGCCCAGTTCCAAGGGCGAGCCGTTTTTCCCGCTCCGGTCAGAAGAATAGAGAAACTCGCGGGGCATGAGGGGAAGCAAGCATAAGCTTTCGGAAACAGAGGAGGTGGTTTGAAACGCCGCTCCTCGGTAATGCATTGGCCAACGTAGCATGCTCCCTCCACTGCTTCAAGTCGTGGCCCCGGCTCCGTGTCGCTCGGACCGAGTCGTCTGCCATGCGTGTCTACCTATGGTTTTGGTCCGCATACTCGCTATTCGGAAGTGGATCCGGGGTAGACCGGATGGCAGAGGATCGGAGCCGATTCAAGCTGTCCCCCGGCCCATTGGCAATTAGTGGACTGACAGTGTCTGAAGAGCTTTGAGTCTGGCTCGCAGGTTCACAATTGCTGTTGCTGAGCATCAACGACCACGCTCGTTTTGTATGTTTCAGCATTGCGATCTCATCAACAACAAGCGAGAATGTCTAACCAATTCAACGCTAATGTCAACACTCATACGACTTTGAGCCCACCAAAGCCGTCATGGGTCGACTTGGGGCCGTTCGGGCTGCCAGGCTCAATCGAGGCCAACGGATATGTTCCGTACTTGATGGCCATTATTCTTGTTGCCTCTGTCATGGCAGTGTCGTTCCGCAAGAACAAGCTGTCTGCATTTCCTATCATCAACGGAAGCAAAAATGAGTATTTGCGAGCGGGCCGCGCGATGTTGGCACGGGGCAAGGAGCAATATGGGAACAAGCCGTTCAGAGTCAACACCGGCCTTGGTGGTGGAGTAATCATTTTGAACCCGAACGTGATGCCAGAGGTTCGAAATGACCAACGCTTCGACTCTACAAAGTTCCTGTTGCAGGTCAGTCACCATTGTCTCCTCACAAGCGCATTACTAATGCGCTATTAGTACTGGCAAGCTGGAATTCCCGGCTTTGAGCCATACATCGCTCTGGGAACGGAGATCTTGCACAACGTTATCAAGTGGAACCTGACGCCAGCCGGAATCTGTGAGTCGGTCTGGTACCGTCATGATAATCAATTGCTGAACTGTGGCAGCCAAGCTTAACAAACCATTGTCCGACGAGGCCGATGCGGCTTTGAGAGACATCTTGACTGATAACGAAGGTATGCATCGGTATCCGGAGATTACTTGCACGATATGTAATTGACACAACCACAGAATGGCATGAGGTCCTGCTCGGCGATGTTCTCATTCGCATTGTGGCCCGTGTTTCATCCGTCATCTTCCTTGGCCCGGAGCTGTGCCGCAACCCAGATTGGCTGAAGATCACTGTCAACTACACGAACACCGCCACCAATGCCGCAAAGGTTCTCCGCCGATGGCCAGTGTTCATGTACAAGTTTATCCACTGGTTCCTCCCCGAGTGCCAGACCGTCCGTGTCATGATGAACGAGGCACGTGCGACTATTGCCCCCGTCCTGGAGAAGCGACGAGCGCAGAAGACAGCTGATCCCAGCCTCGAATTCCACGACGCTCTGGACTGGTATGAGTCGGCTGCGAAGAAGATGGGCGTCGAATACGACCCCGCTGCTCAGCAGCTGGGTCTGTCCGTTTCTGCGATCCTGACTAGCAACGACCTCATGTCGCAGAGTATCATGGACCTCTGCAAAAACCCCGACATGTTCGAGCCCCTTCGAAACGAAATTCGCTCAGTCCTTGGGGATGGCGGCTGGAAGCCCACGACTCTCTACAGCATGAAGCTACTCGATAGCGTTCTGAAGGAAACCTTGCGCTTGAAGCCTGTTGCAGCTGGTAAGTTTGTCGTCATCATCTCATCCTTTGCTTGACAGGTTCGGGCATTTCCAAACTGGCGTTTCCATTTCCCGACGAACTGGGCAGATGTTTTCGGAGCTTGACTGGATTAGTGTTTTGCTAATGATCTCGCAGTTGGTCTAGGTCGACGAGTCATGTCAGAGGTGCGCCTGCAGGACGGCACTCTCCTCCCTAAGGAGTCTGGAATCGCCGTTTCAGCCGAGAAAATGTGGGATCCGGAGATCTATCAAAACCCCCGAGATTTCGATGGGTACCGCTTCCTGCGCATGCGGGAAGCTTCGGAGCAGGGTGAGAAGACGGCTCAGCTGGTCAGCACCTCGCCTGAACATCTCGGGTTCGGTTTGGGCATTCACGCCTGCCCCGGCCGCTTCTTCGGCGCCAACACAGTAAAGCTAGTCATGTGCCATTTGCTGCTCAAGTATGACATAAAGTTGGCCGAGAACAGCAACACGAACCCCATGGAATTTGGGTTCTCGATGCTGGCCAATCCCTTTGTCAAGGTGCTTGTCAGGCGCAGGAAGGAGGAGGTGCACTTTTAAACTTCTGCGGTCCACATGGCTTGAACGTTATTTGCTGCCATAGTTGGGATTGTTTAAGGGGGGGCGCAGGGGGTTTCAGTAGGATTATAACGCAGGGTGTAGAAACAGGACTATTCCTCACTTGGAGTATTTCAAAGTGTAAACAAACTTGCAGTTGCACCTACGAGTGATTAGTGTCGGCTTGGCCCGTCTTGGCCGTGGTAACATACTATCTGTGTCGCGTATCTTAAGGCCCCAAGCCGGGGCGCCTCGGTCCAGATGAGCAGTATTGTGATATCTGATATCCTGCGTGGCAAGATTGGCACATTTACAACTGCCGTTGTCAGGCGGCTGAGCCCCTTCTAAGCGAGCGGCTAAGATTTCTGCCAAGGGCGTGACGATCCTTCTGAAAGACGATAATCGTGCCATTTCGGCAACGCCTTTCGGCATCATTGAAGTAAGATGTGAGTTGCAACCTGGATAAAAGAAAGTTCATTCGTATTCGCTACCTATGCAATCGTTGATCTCATTCTGGTGTAATGCCGTCGTTGCGTTGCTTGCTATGCCTGTGAAAATGCCCCAAGAAAGTCTAACCAGCTCTCACTACTTGAATCAACTCCAGATAATGATCCATCAACGATGCTTCATCACTCTCGAGGCTGAGCCTTCCAAAAAGACCGCCACAAATTGCAAGATAAGGCATGGCTGCCTTGCGATTGCCCTTTTCACCATTCATGAGATAGTACACGATGAAGCAGAGAGAGACCAGAAGAAGATGGCCCATGTCTCCCCACCGTGTGCTTGGCGAACCAATGTCCCTGGCCTGGTCAGTTTCATAGACAAATTGTGATGTGGATAGACAGCATACCTTTCGAGTCCCTTCTCCCAGAATAGACCGCTGTTTGCCAACTTGACTACGGCAAAGGCCGACTCGGCACAGCGCTCCATGCACCTGTCCCGCATCTGCCCGGCAACTCCCGCCATTTCCCCGTCTTCCGATAATAAGGGTGTAATCCATGGGCAGTGCACGAAGAAGACAGCCCGGTGATACATGCAGAACACGCGGAAAGCCTTCCTCAACTGCCGGTCGTCCTTGATCCCCTGCAGCGTCTTGGCATTGTGCGCCTCGTTCAGAGGAGCCGGGAGTCCCGTCACCCACTCGTTGAGGACGTGGCAGCTGGCTTGCAGACGGTCCCGTCGGTCGTATGCAGAGGTCGACTTGTTCAGTGCACGCGGGCTGTACTGGAACTTGAGCACCGAGTGGAGTAGCTCTGAAAACGTGTAGGACACAGCGACCATGTCGTCGCCGCGGTCGAATGAGGGAAATTGACTGCCCCAGCCGAGATCGAGAATCTGAGCAACGTTAGCAAAAGGGCGTTTCAAATTTGGCCGTCTCGGTGGAAAGCTCACGGGAAGCATTCCGTGATGAATAGCATATTCAGTCTCCAGGCTGTAAAGAAACCATACGCTGCGCTGTGCCAGTTCTTGCTCTTGCTCGCTCATGTTCGGCTGCTGACCCCTTGCGGAGTGGACCAAACGAAGGTCCCTCGCGCAGCAAACTGCCCCCGTGATCTTTTCCCAGACAAGCGACTCATCGCACATGCATGCGATAACGGCCTGCAAGATGTCAGTAAGTGAATCTCGTAGTAGCTTGCTGTGTGTGGTGTCGCACCATGAGAAGCGTCGCCTGGAGCTTCAGTAAGCTGTTCGGGCAACCTTGAATGGTCTTGTAAAGGCCTAACGCTGTTCCAAGCCGCCGTTGGGCATCGCGAGCCTCATCCGGTGTAGGTGGCTCCCGACTACGTTGGCAGGCGGTATAGTATCCGATTGACATGATTGCCTCTACGAATGCCGTAGCCAGCGGGCTGGCATCGGCTTCTCGCGACTGTTTGATTATCTTATCGACTGTTTGTCTGGTAAGGAAGTTGCTGATTCTATATCACATGTCAGTTGTCTTTATTCTCATGCAGGTAATCCATCATCAACTTACGGGCAACAATCTTCGAAGCACGCTGTAGAGAGCGCATTAGCAGTGAGCCCCATTCAGTCTTTTCGAAAGACCTACCATCGCAATAACGTGACATGGTGATGTCGCTATCTGGCCACCGTCTGGAGCGATCATGTGGGCTCTTGTTTGCTGGCATTACACGGTTGCCGCAGAGTACGCGCTTGAGTCCGTTGACGGTTTTGATCATCTCTGTTCGGCGAGGCTCTTTGCTGCTTCGAGCGATGTAGCTTGGCAGGCCGTACAGACTCGACGCCGCAAAGTCTACCTCCACTGGTGAATCGCGAGGATTTGGCGTCTTTTCATGTCTTTCGGTTGCCAGTTTCCTCGTTTCGGTCGCTTCATCGAAATTGAATAGCTTCCAATAGTCAGAAGGCAAATCACGACTGCTTTTGCATACAGGCGTACCATGTTGTAATCAGGTGGGCTGGTCGTTTCTGGTCTGGACTGTTGTGCATTATCTCGTTGACTTGTTGTTTGCGGTGCTGGTGAAGCGGAGAACTTGTTGTCGATCATCGGAGACGGCATGTCGAAGTTGAATCCTGCAGAGTTGGAGTCCGACGGTGTTGTGTCGAGTAAATCCATCAACTCATCCTCTCCCGGCAAGGGCAGATCCAACATGCCCGGGTGTTCATCTTGCCGACTGCTCGAATAGGCATCGGGCATTGAGAATTGTAATAAGCAGTTTAAGCCGTCCATATCCCCCCTCTCATCATTGTTCACAGTATCGTCGGTCGAAATGGGCGTCAGCAGCGTGCCATCGCATGTGAGCTGTTGCCATGCATCGTACGGTGGGAGACTGTCATTAGTGTTGATATCGAGTCTACGGACATTGGGAGGTTGTGAGTTGGTGTTCGTTCCTGGCGCGGTCGATCGACGAGGTCTGGGGGCTAAAGGCGGATAGTAACATGCTTGTCCGTTACGCTACATGCACACAGTCAGAAATTTGTTTGACACAGAGGCATATCTCTCGTACATCACAATTGAGACATGGGTCTGCTCCGTCACCTTCATTATGTCAGAGTATGCTTCACCAACAACAGTACTGTTCACTCACATCGTACTTTCCTAGACCTGCACGCTTGGCAGGCGCCCCTTCGACGTGTGATTCTTCGCATGTTGGTTTGTCCAGAAAATGCTTGACAGCCGAACCGCCTGAAAGTCTTCTAGAATGTTGAGGCGAAAGCTAACAGAGAGTTGAGCAGAATCCCGACGGCATATGGCCTCGCGACTTGACGGGCGGTGCCGTGTGAAATGCAAGATTAGCTTGGTCTAAATACTATTGAAGCTGAGTTTGCCAACGAGGAAGGAGGATGACTCTCTTAAGGTTCACACTTGGATGGATTCAGACGGTATTGGACTTGACTAAATATCAACCAAGGCGGGAACACCCCTCCATGGGACGGTTCCCGTGGCATGGTGTCTGTCAACGACGGGAACCCTGTGCCCATGTTGTTCAAGCGTGTCCAAGCTTCTCCAGCTCTAGAGTCTAACTACAGACCCTAAGAAGCCGAATTGTTTCGGCCGGGACCAGCTTTCCCAGATGCTCAAGGGTAGCTCTCTCTACAGAGATTGAGCGGTTCTCTCGGTGTTGTGATAGCCATGCGGTTAATTTTTTTTTTTTAGCTTTGAGTTCCCCTCACCGCGTAACGCTGCGCTGGTTTCGCGCCACTTACCTGGCATGTCCAGCAGGTGTTATGCTTTGTAGATGACTCGCCCAACCCTTGACATCCCTAGACACCGGTGGCATGGATAAGGAAACCCCAGAGTCTGGTCCCAACCCCTCAGGACCCGCCCCAAAAACCGCTCGGGCAGTCTGAATTTGTATCCACGGAGCCCACTCATTTCGCATCTACCCGCTCACATTGAGCACGCAAGATTCTGCAAATCAAGTATGGGATAGATTTTGCCAAGATATCAACTCAAATAAAGTCTCTAGAAAACCAATGGTTTCATTTTTCGTCCCGCCCCGCCTGCAGTCTTGGATAGTACTACGCAGTTAACTCGGAAGCTGACGTTGAGTCAGGCACCGCGAAACAACACTGACAAACTTCCACTAGCATTACCAGCGCCAAATCTTAACTCTCAGAGTTGCGTGGCAGCTCGGTGGTAGCCAGAAGAAGCGGTTATATGCTCGATCAACGCGCGTATTTAGGATGACCTGACAATCAACACCTCAAACCTTAAACCAATGCAACTGTGAATTGAGTCAGGCCCCTGGAGCATCTCAATACGCTCCGACTCGGTCCATGGTCTAGCATCTTTCTTCATCCTAATCCCGCCGGTGCCGAAAGTGAGTGGGATACCCTGTGAATCTTCAACTAGCACTTTGCTCGGCTTGTGATAGCGAATGCAGCGGACTGGAATTCCGGAACCGAAGATCATCACTCAAGATTTCATACCGACTGCAGCAATAAGTAGACTCAGTGGACCCCTTGCTCAAGACTAATACGACAGCCCGCTTACGAACACTCGGAATCACTGCCCGCCGCCGCCGGCTCGCCTCACTTTCCATTCTCAATCGAGATCAGGCTGCCCCAAGCCCCTCGAAAACACCTAACACCGACCCCCACGCTGCTGTCCCTTGTCAACAATGACCACACCCCTCACTACCCATCAGCCAGATGTCAACAAACCGCCCAAGATGGCCATTGCTAAAGAGGCGAAGCACTATGTCGATCACAGGCCGCCTTACCCGGACTCAATGTGGAAGCTCTGGACGAGTTACCATCAAGGACCTCTTACAAGCGCTCACGACATTGGCTCGGGCAGCGGAAACGGTGCCGAAGGACTATTGACGCACACAACTCCACCGCTGAAGCATGTTGTGCTTACCGAACCGCGAGAGATCAACATCGCGGACTGCCGTGCTCGGTTCAAAGACCGCTTCCACGGGACCGAATTCTCGTACCGAACCTGTCGTGGCGAAGACCCCTGGGATCCACCCGCCGGACTGGAGCACGTCGACTTTGCAATGGCGTGCGAATCGATCCACTGGACTGTCCTCGGACCAACCACGGAGAACATCGCAAAGAGCCTCCGACCCGGTGGGACATTTGCAGCTGTCATCTACGGACCGTTTCCAGGAATCACCAATAACAAGGTCGCCAATGCAGCTTTCAAGAGTTTCATTGGGGAACATGCCGCGCATTTGCTCAAGCAAGAGTGGATGACTGAAAACTGGAAGCGAGCTGCGCGTCAAATGTTTCACGGCATGGACTGCGTGCCACTTCTAGATGATGTGTGGCAGGATGTGAAGCGAGTTGAGGTGAACTGTCGGGACGGGTGGTATGCCAAGGATTATGAGCCAATGGAGGGTACGGAGGATCCGGTCGACCACTTGGGAACTTCAGAGCGTGTCTCCATCGACGATAACGAGGATTGGCAAATTTCAGCCACGGTTGAGTGGCTCAAGCAATCCCTGGAGTCAATGCGTTTTGGGTTTACGGAGGATTCTTGGAATTCACCAAAGTGGAAGGAGATTGAACAAGCGGTGGGAGGCGGGCCATTGGAGTTGCAATGGCAGGTTCACATGATACTCGCTAGAAAGAGGGGTTGAGCGTTAAGAAGCTCTACAGGGTATGGTTGACCAGGTTCAAGCTTGTCTGAATGTACAGGCTATCCTGCCATTATCCATAATCACGGGAGAGCGGAAGAGACAATTGGCATATTTAGAACTGCGGAAACAGCATCCATGAATCCATAACATACTGTAAAAGAAAACATGACTTAGGTCATGCTAGAGAAAGAAATCATGAGGCAAGCTACTAGTTTCGCCTTTGGCGTTTGTCTGTTCCCGAGCAACTCGCATTCGGTCGATCGATGCACGCAAGTAGTCTGACGCAGTTGACCATAGCTCTACGAAAGTTCCCAACTCTCGGTGCAATAGAAATAGCGAGCAGCTTTTCCTATGCGTAAGCCCTGATTGGACGATTCTCGAATCGTTCTTCCGTGTTCCTACCGCCACTAGAGAGCTTGGAACACATTGTGCCACTTCTTCATCGAAGAGGCGGCCTGCCCCCTCGGAAACTGCAGGTGGGTTAAGGGACCAGCCGGGGTGTTGACACCAAATTCGGATCAATCCGCCGAGTGGGAAAAAAGCTTATTTCAACTCTTTGATAGGTAGCCTGAGTAGTTTTGCTCGCTGAAACTGGGGTCGAGGAGAAAACACGCAGAGCACGATTCATGTGTCCTCCAGTGTCCCTCGTTGTGGGGTTGTGGACCGTTGTCTCTTTATCTGGAGTTGCTTGAAGATCGGGGGCAGGGTAGTAACGCCGAATAGTCTGGGGAGACTGGAGTATTACAAGTGGGCAAATCCACGTGTCAAGGGGTGTTCTCGAACCGTTGACCATGTTTACCGGGCAAATTGATACGAAGGCACGAATTAATGGTGTTGAGTGAATAATTGACCGGTAAAGCTGCATTACATAATGATTGGCAATAATATTGCGCCTATTAGGTGGTATTCGACGAATACCCGTATTTTTGGAGTCGCCTTTAGGAGAAGTGATAGTTACAGTTGAAGGTCACCTCTGTCTGAACTTTAACCAGAGTATCCGCATGGCCGGTACAGTCTAAAAGTGCGATCGCAATAGCCGCGGGCCAAAGGGATGTGGAATCATCCTGATTCATTAGTTCTCACACTAGAGAGTCAACGTTTGATACAGTTTATCAAGTTATTTCAGAATCATTTAGCATTGCCCCGACTCCCGCCTCATCTTGAAGAGCCTCGCCTGAAGCACTGACGCATTGTTTGATATCACGGCACAGCCGTAGTGTTATGGAGCCGCGGAGATCTGCATAGCCCACTTAGTGTGGTGAGCCCGAGTCAGTCTAAGGTTAATGACGGTAATCGAGATTACTGTTGAGTTGAACCTAGGCATCTTGAAAGAAGCAGAAAGCGGGTAAAAGATGATGCACAGTATTGTTCGGTGGGCATAGCCGAAGTAACACTAGATGCGACAATACGGAGACGGTACTATTTGAAGTGTCGTATCACGAAAGAAACCTTTTGCAAGGGAATCATGAGCTTACATCGAATTCTCCACGGCGAAATTAATTGACTTATTTAAGCTGCAACTGTACCGGTGGCATATGCCGAACACACATTCTTCATTGGGTATCAGTGATTGTCTAATGCTCTGTCATACGGGGGAGTGCCAGCGAAAGCGTAATCTGTCAAAACATGAAAGCAGTTACATTTGCCATAAACCAATCATCCATCATCCATCATCCATGCTTCCTATATACCGCATGAATATTATCAAAAGTCGACTGCCTGGGCAAAACCAATTCTGTGCTTCTGCTCATATTCCCAGTCCTCGGGAACATTCTCCTGGACGTACTCCTCGATGTCACCAATCCGGTACTTGAACTCGTACTCAAAATCGTCGGGAGGGTTCAAGTCGGCGTCTTCAACTGCTCGCTTCTGGGAACCCTTCTTCTTCTGGACGTATGGCCGAGAAGCCTCGTAGGCACCTTTGTAAGACAGGGCACCCGGTCCGGCGTAAGCCGACGCCTTACTCTTGACACCAGCGCTGTATGCGACGGTTTTATCGCCAATGGTGTCATCCGTGTTGACGGTCGATCTGGCAACGCACTTGCCCTTGTTCCAGGTGGCATCATAGCTGGCAGTCCAAACAGCAACGGGGTCCACGATCATCTTCTCCGTATAGAAGAGGCGGCAGTTGGCTGCTTCGTATATGAACTGCTCGGGCTCACCGTGGGCGTTCTCGCGGGCATAGGCGTTGCGGTAGTTGAAGCTACCAGAGCTGGCTAGGGGCGGGAGGAGAGGAGGCTCGCCGATATCGGGCAGAACGTCGAATGCCTCCTTGAGATACTTCGTGTTGTTGGTCTTGACGGCATCACGACTGACCTGCATGATTGTTTGTCTCAGGTCAGTGAACTGCAGAACCTGAGCACCCTCAACGCCACCGACTGCTTGCATGGCTGTCTCCATGGGACGACCGCCGAGGGCAATCGTGCGGACGCCCTGTTCCCGGACCATCAGACCAGTGAAAATCGTGCAAGTCGATGCACAGCCACCGTCGGTTACGATAACGATATTCTCAGGGGCGAAAAGCGGATCTCCCTTGGTCTTCGTGTAGGACAACTCCGTCTGGTTGTAACGAAGTAGCTTGGTGGTATTCTGGCCAGCGACGACCTCAGGCCCGAATAGTTCTTCCCAGTCCTTGTACGGCTTTTGATTCTCATCGAGGTATGTTCCAACGAAGATATCCAAGACATCAGGCGAGGAATCCCAGGCGGTAATGCCAATTGCATTGAAGGCCTCGGTGGCACGGATACGGCTACCATCCCAGATGTCGGTGGTCTTGGGGAAGAGTTGGTTGTAAAGTTGGAATCCTGCGGCGACGAAGCCACCACCGTTCCCCTGAACATCGATGATGAGTTTCTTCTTCCCGGCGTCCTTAGCCTTTTCCAGGAACTCGGCGACCGTACGGAAAGCCTCTAGAATCTCGAATGTGCCGTTCGGCTTGGAGATAGTCCATGGGGTGAACCCCAGAACAGCAAGAACAGCGGTATCCTCATAACCTTTGCCTTCCATGAAGTAACCCGATATCCACTCATGCTTGTGGAAAGCTACTGGCTTTGGGTAGCCTCGGAGGGAGGTCGGGCTGGGGGTAGAGCTGGCCGCAGATGTTGATTTTGAAGGGGCTGTCGTGCTGGCTGCCGCTGAAGTGGTTGTAGCCGGGACTTCGAAGTGGTTGTGAAGCTTCTCGGCAGTGTCGAGCCATTCAAGCGTTGTCCTGGAGACCTTGGCGTAGAGTTCGTTCGTATAAGTTGTATCGTTCGTGAACTTGATAATTTCCTCATCAGGGCAGTCGCCAGGGAGACGGACAGTGAAGCCCGCAGTTGACCCCCTAGCAAACTGCGCTGGGTTCGTAAACATTTTGTTGTACTTGGCATCGGGATCCTGGGTCAGCTGCCGGGTAGCCTGGGCTTCGATGAACTCGCAGATAGGAGTGCCGTCAATGCTTTCGATATCGTAGACATCGGTGTCGTTGGCGACTGACTTCTCGAAATCGCTTCGGAGATAGACTCTTGGAATTCCTGTTACTTCGTCTGCGACCGATACTACCCCATTCAAGCTGGTAAAGCCGAAGATACTGAGGATAGCTGGGTTATAGGTGAAGTGGCCGTCGGATGCTTGGAAGAACTGATCCGTTGTAAATAATTATGTCAGTCGATAGAATAAGGTTGGTCTTACCAGGTATTTGAGTTCTAATGCAAAGTCCAACTGGCTCTTGTATTGATCCTTGCTCAACTTGGCACGAATTTGTCCAATACCGCTTAGGACATCAACTCCAGGAATTAGGTATCCCTCAGGTGGGTGTGACAAAGGTTCCAATGTGCTTTGAAATTCAAGGTAAGGTTCGAGGTAGTTCAGAAGGTCCAAGTCTCTCTCTTTATCAACGGGTACTGAATGCAGGCAGTTGTATGCTAGCGACGGTTTTACCCAGGCAGCGGTTGCGGTGGGGGCCGCTGCAAGTATTGATTCGGCCTCGGCCTTCACGATACCGCAAGCGTCTTGTGATGGTGCTGTGGTAGTTGTCGGTTTGGCATTGGCCTTGTTAGCCGCGTGGAGGTTGGCGGCAGAAACTGTGCCGACGAGGGCCAGCGCCCAAGTGAAGGTTGACCGCATGATGAAAATGTGCGAAGAGAACACTCTATTGTGTCTCGTCAAATCAAATGATGGAAGAAAGAAAGAGAAAACAATGGCGCTCTCGTATCCGTTATAACTCTTCGGTGTTGTAGCCAAGACACAGACTGATGAACCAAACATGAACTAGAACGACGGGAGTTCTGTTGACTATTATAATCCAATATGCTGACCGACATGACATGCTCTCTAGTGTCGGTGCCATCCTGCTGGTGTCTTTCTTTACTCTCCACCAAGCTTACCCAGCCCCATGAACCGCGCCTGGGGAAATCGCGAGCGACAACAAGCGAGGAGTAACCTTAACGCAGCGGCGGGAAGAGGCTGTGTGGCGGCACTAGCCAGGCAGAACAGTTTGGGTGGGCTCAGCTTGGAGGGTCCAATAGCTTACCGGGCCGGTGCTAGTCTGTTTAGTGCCGTGAGCTGGCGTCCATCTCAGCCTCCACTCCCGGCCTTGTTGTGCTTCTATTGGGTTGATTTGGGGTTCGTAAACGGCCCCGGCTTACTTGGGAGTTTTGGCCCTTCAACATGATGCTCAGTGCGGGAATGGAAAGGTCTGACGTTGGCCGGTGAGCGTGTGTCTCTTTGTTCATGTGCCAAGAGAGCCGCATGATGAGGTGTCGGCTTCATGGATATGACAGCCCTCTTCGTCAGGCTGTTGAAATCTCAACCCTTCAACACAGTGAAGTCAGGCAATCGACAGCCCCGAGAACGCAGACAAGTACGATGCCGCTTCGCGCCTGGCGGTGAGATCGTGGCGCGTTTCAAGGGACAGCGACACAGGGAGAGCAGGGCTGCAGGGGTGTGGCGCGCTAACACGTGGAGATGAGATCCTCCAGGATCGGCGCAATCAAAGCCTGCAGGTGGGAGGCACAGTTGAGCAAGTAAAAGCCCCGATGTCAGCATTTTCAAGCATGCCCTGCAGCCCGCTATTGTCAACCTGAACATGTACTGTATTCGAGCTACCGTATACGGCATCCATTGCAGAATCACCAGGCCTGTGATGATGTGAGTGAGGCTCAGTCGACGCTGTTGACATACGATTCCAGATTGTAGGACCGTGATCGCAGTAAGACGAAAGTGCCCATCATCTCGTCCGAACTCTCGAATTGAATTTTATTGTGAGTGGGCAAAGACTGGACGTAGGCTATTCTAAGAGCCTTCTGGAAAGTCTACCGAATCGTCTGTGAATTCTGTCGGGCCATTAAGTCAGAAAATTAGAGTTGATGATCGATCTTGCTTGTGACCAATGTAGTGAGCAGAAGCTCAACATCACCGCGGTCATTTGCACCGACACGTACGGACAAAACGGGCGAATCATGCGAAGAATTCGAAGTCAAATGGAGTCATAGTCCGCACCGGTGCGGAGGTTGCAGCCGGAGGACGAATGCGCCGGCCCAAGGATCTGTAGGAGGCACTGCACATCCATTACTGATGCAGACGGTTCCCGAACATCGCGGTCTCTATTCATCTCATCAGCTGATCATCAAGAGTGAACGTTGGTGAAGAGCGACCATTGACATGTTCAGCCCTAGGCTAAAGGATCACCAGTTCCCTCGAGGGTGGCTTGGCTTACAGGGGCTGGCAGGCAGCCAAATACCGTTGCTGCCGCCTGTTGTGACCTATTTTTGAACACCTGAAGGCACTTGGCTCTGCTGCCGGCTCACTGCATATCCATCCCGCACCTGCAATGCGGGCCCTGGCTGAGCAGAGTCAAGGCGCCACCAGCCGGAGCTTTCGGTGGTGCCTACACACAATACATGTACGAGTGTCCCAATCTGGTCATATTCTGCTTTCATTCTTGTTCGAAAGTTCTTCCTGTGGCCCAGTTTGCTTATCCTTCTCGTCAAACTTCAGCGCAATTGAGGATACCAAACTTGTTTACTGCCCTGTCAACTCTAATCAGACGGGGCTATTTGTTGGAGCAGGTATGGTCGCTGAGGTTTCTTCAATTTCCCCACCGCCGTTCCCCAAAACTTGCAGATAATGATGCAGTTTCCTGCCTGTGATCAGCACTACATCAAAGCAACGGAATTTCAGACCAAGCACGGTCGCCTTAGCCGTCCGACCGCTGTAACGCTAATAACATCCCCGGCAAAGTCTGAATTGGCGGGGAGTAAGCCGCTTGGTTTCTGTGTGAACTCTGGCAGAAGTTGTGATGAAAATGCTCGGTGTCGGCTTCAGTGAAGTTCTCTCCGCCGGTCCCCGCAGCCGGCCGACTTTTCGCCCTCCGCAGCCGATCCACGGCAACAACAAAAGCCGTTCGGTCTTGACATTTGTCCCGGAGCAGTGGACGGCGCGGTGGGGACTTGTTCCGCTTGTTTTTGGCTGGCAGGCTCCAGCGATTGCATGATTGCATCATATGCAAGGACCTTTCGGCTTTCATTCAAACCGGAAACAGCACGCAGGGTGCAATCTTGAGCAGCACGTCATCGTTCGGCAATCAACGAAACTAATCTTCAAGATTAATGAACACCACCACCGATGAACCGAAATGCTAAAGTAAACACCAGAAGCCAAAAGTCGAGAGAAACATTGGGCTTATTTCAGCTCCCTAGTTCTCGCGAATTGCTAAGCGTGCGTGGTGATGATACTACGCAGGTCTTGGCGGCGAGAATATCTTCGCTTGGGTTGCCAAAATGTGCCAGTTCCGGACTACGACACGTGGTTGGCCACACCATGACTTTTGAATTTCATTGGACAGGACTGGATGTAGAGACCAAACATCCAGAAACTTGTTTGAATGATGCCTCGCCTTGCCGTCTCAAGTGGAACAGCCCGCCAGCATGGCTCCCAGTCAGCCATGGAGACGCGTGTTCCATCCAACTGGCACGGCGCCGTTGAATATTTAAACGGTTCTTTGTATCATGAACCAATCGGGCCTGGTTCCTCGCCTTTTAATTAAGTTGTCAAGACATTGAGGTCCGTGGGAAACTGAGTTGGCTATGATTGCAGCCAGCCGGCTGGGCAACGGGAACAGGAAGCTTGAATCTAGCTATGGCCAAAGATCCTCCCCAACGCATCACGTAGGAATCCAATGATCCTCCTGATTTTCATGATTTCGAAGCGAAATGGTCGATACGATTGGCTCGTAGTATTCGTGTGTCGTCTGCCACATCAGACGAGAGTCTTGGCGGTTGCATGTCTACATCGGCGGCAATGTAGGTGTCATGCGCACTGACATTCCCTAACAGATGTGTCAACAATGCCAGTAAGATCTGATGTTCGTTTCCAAGCGAGCTGAAGTTTTGGGGGATTTGCCTCTGTTAAGAGGTTTCGCAGGCTGGTTGGTGTGGTCGGCATTAGAGTTAGACTTCGGTCCGAGACGTGATCGCTGGAGTGTATGTGGCTCATTCTGGACGCGGCATCACAGGCATGTCGGAACGGGGTACGCGCCGTTTCGCCGACTCTTGCACGAAAAGGTTTCCAAAGCCAATTGTTGGCCGCTGGAAATCACATGGTCTACCTGGGACTGCCCTGGGACGCAATCGCCACAAGCAGTTTTGACAGTTCAGATACAGCCTGCTGCTCATCCAACGTCACTTTTCTGATACCTGACTCGGCCTTTTTGTAATCTGGACCGTTGCATATTCATTCCTCGTTCAGAGTGGACCGCCTGCATCGCCATTGCGACTAGATTTTTCATATTCATTTCTGATTACAAGCGGATAATAGTAGTTGTTCATTATGAACGGAGCGGCTTCCAGTAACGGGAGCGAGGGAGCTATGCAACGGCTGAAAGCCCTCTGCTCCACCGTCCTTTCCATTTCAGTCGAGGATATTGACGAGGGCTCATCATTTGTTTCTCTTGGCGGTGAGCATCACAATATCGTCTTCCCGTATCACTTCGATCACTGATGACATGTACAGGCGATTCTTTTAGAGCCGTGACTCTATTCCAGAAATGCACAGAACAGGGGCTCGCAGTGCGCTTCCAAGATCTTCTCCACAAGCCATTAGTCGATGTAGCAGCCTATGCAGAGAAGGCTGCGGAGGGAGATGAAGCCGGATCTTCAAGCAGAGAAGGCTCTGATAGAGACGAGACGTACCACCTGATGCCTTCAGAGTACGACTTCACCAAGGTGTTCGATGAACTGAAGGCAAAGTACGGTGTGAGCCTAGATGACGTCGAGGACATCTACCCCTGCAGTCCTATGCAGGAGAACATGTACATCGGCCAGAAGATGAGCTCCAAGCGGCTTTACCGGTCACGCGGATTATTCGAAGCAGACTCCGCGTTTGACTTTGATAGGTTCAAGGGCGCTTGGAACGACATCGTTCAACGACACCAAACTCTTCGGACAGTTTACATCGAGACTGCGGACCCCACGTCAGGCCGCCTACTTGACGCAGTTGTACTCAAGAACAAGCCGGGGCAGGTGAAGATCAGTCACTACGATGAGGAATCGGAAGTGCATCGAAAATTCCACGACGGTGCAATTGATGACGGAGAAAATGGGGACGATCAACATCAAATCATTATCTACGCCAGCTTAAAAAAGCAACATCACGGAAGAGTCTTCTTTCAGGTGGATCTTAATCATCTGACCGTGGATGGCAGCTCTCTCATGATTATCGTCGAAGAGCTCGTGAAGGGCTTGAGAGGAGTTCCAAGTCTCGGGCCTGCCACAGGCTACGGAAAGTATATCGACCATCTACGGAATCAAGTGGATGAGGACGGCGCACTGGATTACTGGATCGACTATCTCGACGGAGCAGAGCCATGTTACTTCCCAACCATGAACGACAACATGAAGGGAGATGGTGGGTCTTTTGAGGTCCTGGAGATGTGTCTGGACACCTCACTTGAGCAGCTGCGGAACTTCTGCCGCAATTTCAACGCAACAGTATCGAACACGCTGCAGGCCGTTTGGGCTCTCGTTCTCCACACATACACCGGCGACTCCAACGTGTGCTTCGGCTACCTCTCTTCTGGACGCAGTTTACCTATACTCGGAGTCTCTGAGATCGTTGGGCCCATGATGAACTTGTTAGTCTGTCGAGTGCGCGATATGACGAGCAAGTCTCTCAGCGACCTCTTGGGTGAGATCAGACACGATTTTGTTCACTCTCTTCCACATCAATGCTTCTCCATTGGCAAAGTACAGCGAATTCTGGGCACGAACGAGAGCAAGCTATTCAACACGATAATGACCTCCTACTACTCCCCCACCTTGAGCAATGAGACTAGCAACATGTTCAAGCTAGTCGCATCACATAATGCGTCGGACTTCGACATCGTCCTGAAGGTTGTCTATTCCGATTCCGACATCCGCGTACGGCTAGCCTACTCAACAGGCACTTTGTCCTCAGCAATGGCGAAGGGTGTTTCTCACACATTTTCTGCCATTCTCAAGAGTCTCGTTGAGGCAAGTGAGCCGGATACCTCCGTCCGGTCCACCGCGGCGATCAGCCCACAAGGCTTGCGAGACATCACAGAATGGAACCACCAAAACTCACTTCCGGAATTGTCGCCAACCTGTGTTCATCGCCTCATAGAGGAGAGAGCTCGTTCCCAGCCTGATGCGCCTGCGATCTGTGCGTGGGATGGCGAGATGACTTACCAAGAACTCGACGCCGCAGCGACTCATGTCGCCAGCTACATCACAAATCTTGGCATAGGCCCTGGGTCATACGTCCCTCTCTGCTTTCAGAAGTCAAGGTGGTACTCTGTGGCTCTCTTAGCCGTGATGAAGAGTGGAAACGCATTCGTCCCACTAGACTTATCTAACCCTCCTGCGAGAATCCAGGAGATTCTCAAACAGCTAGGAATCTCGGAAGATCATGGACTGATCATCTGCTCACCACAACAAGCTTCAGACTTGGCCTCCTCAGCCCGCAATGTCTTGGAACTAGACGAAGAGCAACTGTCAGCTATTGCTTCGGCAAAGACCGTACCGCCTCTTCCGACCGTCACCCCCAAGGACCCAGCCTATGTGATCTTCACGTCAGGGTCTACCGGAACTCCAAAAGGTGTTGTCATCGAGCACGGATCGTATTCTTATGCTGCCCGAGCCCACAGCAAGGGCATTCAGATTGATTCCGCATCTCGTGTCCTTCAATTTGCCTCGTACGGATTCGATACCAGCATGGAAGATCACCTCACGACGTTCGCGCAGGGTGCTTGCCTCTGCGTCCCGTTCGAAAGCGCACGACTGAGTATCCCTGACTTGGCGGCTTTCGCGACGAAATCGAAAGCAAACTGGGCTCATCTGACTCCCTCCTTCGCTGAAATGCTGAGCCCGAGTCTCATGCCAACAATGAAGACCATGGTTCTCGGAGGCGAGGCCATGTCGGGGAAGAACGTCCAGACTTGGGCGAACCCAGGCCAGACGAAGCTGATACAAGTCTACGGACCATCCGAATGTTGTGTGACCAGCACCATCGGAGCAGAAATGTCCGCTGACGGTGATCCAACGAACATCGGCACCCCAGTTCCGGGATGTTCTGCATGGGTTGTGCGACAGGAAGACCCCAATGTTCTACAAGCCGTTGGGGCTGTAGGAGAGCTGCTCATGGAGGGTCCAATTCTGGCCCGAGGCTACTTAGACAGTCCAGAACTGACGGATGAGGCGTTCGTGACTGGTCTTACGTGGGCACCTGAGAAACGGCTCTACCGGACTGGAGATCTCGTCAAGTATGACTCTGACGGAAAGCTTCACTTCGTAGGACGTCGGGACGGCCAGGTCAAGCTCAGGGGCCAACGAATGGAGCTCGGTGAGATTGAACAACAGCTGGTGCTAGAGCCAAGTGTCCAGCATTGTCTCGCTCTTGTTCCCAAGGCAGGGCCATGTGCTAAAAGGCTAGTCGCGTTCGTGACTTTGGCTGAAGCTAGCACGACGACACACTCTGCGATTATGACGCTGTCGACACCGATTGAGACTTTGAGTGGTTCTTGGTCAGAGCACATCAGTCAAATCAGAGACTTCCTCCTCGACAGAATTCCACCCTACATGAGTCCGGAACTGTGGATCGTCTTGAAGTCCATGCCGGGGAACTCCTCTGGGAAAATTGATCGGAAACGATTGAATAAGTACCTCGAGCATCTCACTCAGGACCAGTATACCAGCTTCCTGTCCCGGTTGCAAGATGAGAACTCTGAGCGCCCAGGAAACGAGACAGAGTTGCTATTGAGAAGTATCTGGAGCGAAGTATTAAACGCGCCCGAGGAAGAGATCCGGTGGAACAGTTCCTTCTACTACCTCGGTAAGTCTTCAGATAGGCTTGATGTAATGCGTCACTAACATCATTTCAGGGGGTGATTCGATATCTGCAATGACGGTCAGCAGCATGGCGAGACAGAAAGGCCTCAATGTATCGGCCGCTGACGTTCTACGATCCCGATCTATTGAGCGTCTGGCCAAATCGACTTCTCGAATCACGCAGGACAATCATAAGCCCGTTGCCGCTTCAGAATCAGCAGTTGAGCCAGCGGCCGGAGAGCCGTTTCCCCTCTCGCCTATCCAGCAGCTTCACTTCCAGGCCTCGCCCACCGGAGACAGCCTGGATCAGCAGACCATGGTTGTGCAGGTGACAAAGAAGGTCGACCAAGAAACTCTGCTTAGTGCTTTCGAGTCTCTCATAGAAGCCCACCCTATGCTTCGCGCCCGATTCGACTGCCACAACGGCGAATGGGCTCAGAGGACCACGAACTCGGAATTGCACCAGAATTGCCGGGCGAGGTTCCACAGCCGAGATCAACTCGACTATGTCGTTGGATGCATCAGCGAGTCCAAGCGATCGCTCAACATTGCCTCTGGGCCTTTAGTAGGAATCGACTTCTTCGAGTCGAGACGACAAACGCTACTTTCCATCACGATCCACCATCTTGTTGTCGACACTGTGTCTTGGCGAACCCTCTTCCGCGAGCTAGAGAACTTCCTTCTCTTCGGCGGCCAGATAGAGGCGGAGGCTACAACATTCCAATCATGGTGTCATGCTCAGAAACAACACGCCGCGGATCTGCAGATCGATGAGGTCCTGCCATCCGTGAACAAGATACCCTCAACTGACCTAGCATTCTGGAGTATGGACGACAAGAGCAACACCTTCAAGTCTACCGTCACTCATAAAATCTCGCTGACTCCGGAGTTGACGAAATCTCTGTCCTCTGCGCGCGGTACCTCGAACTTCGCGGCCTTGGATATCATGATCGCTGCCATCGGGGAGTCATTTTACGAAACGTTCGGACGCTCCCCCGCGGTCTTCATTGAAGGACACGGCCGAGAGACATTCTCTCACGATATGAATCCATGGGAAACCGTGGGTTGGTTCACGACGTTCTTACCTGTCCTCGTTCAGCATCACGATGATAGTCTAGCGACGCTGAACAGTGTCCGCGAGCTCCGCGCTAACACTCCGTTGAGTGGGCTGCCATATTTCATGTCACGGTTCCTCAACAGCGAGGGTATCGATGCGTTCAAGCACCGCCACTGGCCGATGGAAATCACTCTGAACTACCTCGGCGCCTTCCAACAGTTTGAGAGACAAGCTTCACTTTTCAACAGATGCGATGATGGCCTCCAATCAAGACTGTCAGAACTGAGACGTCAACAGCGCGCCGATTCGACGAGATACTCCCTCATCTCTATCCTTGCGGTGATGAAGGACGAACAGTTGTCGATCGAGGTGGAGTGGAACTCTCAGATGAACCACCAAGATCAGCTCAAAGATTGGGTTTCTCAGCTTGAGCAGAGCTTCGAGCAGGTCACCAATAGACTGGCGACTCAAGACCTTCCCGATTCGCCCATCGAAAACCTTCCTCCTTCAGTTGGCCTCAACTCAAAGAGACTCATGTCTGTCATGGGCTTGGCAAAGTCCAAACTCCGCCTCCAACCAAGCCAGATTGAAGCTGTTTATCCTTGCTCCCCGATTCAAGACAGTCTCATGCTTTCCCAGTTGAAGAAACCCAGCAATGTCTACAGCCAACATTTTCTCTTCAAGCTATCTGGAGACGACCCCATACAGCCCGAGAAGCTCTATACGGCCTGGAAACAGGTTGTCGCAGCCCATCCCATCCTGCGTACCGTGTTCCTGGAAGAGGACGACGGAGGTTTCCTGCAGGTTGTTGTGAAAGCTGTGGCGCCTGAGATTGAGATTTTGAGACTCGAGGATGAAGAAGACCTGCAGGAGCTCTGGGAGAAACAGTCCACTTCACGTGGGCCGTCCCCTCTCAGTGGCAAGATCCTACACAAGTTGCGGATCTACTCAGCTAAAGATGGCTCGGTCTACTGCTTCCTGGACAAGAACCACATCATCACCGATGGCACGACGTCGAGGCTTCTGATCCGGAATTTCCTGGACGCATACGAATGCCGACCGAGAGGCGATGCATGCCCGTACTCGAACTACATCAAGTACACCTCGGAGCAGAACATGGCTGACATCATCAGCTACTGGACACGTTATCTAGATGGTGCTACTAGCTGCCAATTTCCAAAGCTTTCCCACGCAAAGGTTACCTCCGGCCAGCACATGGAGTTCGCTCGCACATCATCCGCCTTCCCGAACACGGCCTCTCTGGAGAAGGCTTGCCGGTCACTGGACGTGACTCTCCCGATTATCTTCCAAACGGCCTGGAGCGTGGTCTTATCCACGTATCTGAACTCTGACGACGTAGTCTTTGGGCTACTTTCGCATGGCCGGGATGCGCCAATTGTGGGAGCTCAGGAGATTATAGGACCTATGGCCAGCATCGTGCCTGTGAGGTCTCACCTCACTCCGACGACAAAGGTTTCTGACGCTATCAAAGCCATGTGGGAAGACGGCATTGCGCATATGTCTCGGCAAACAATTTCCCTGGCTCGTATCCAGCATTCTGTGAAGAGAACCGGCGACGACATGTTCAACACCATTCTCAACTTCCAGAAGACCAGCGCGGCGTCTCCTTCCTCAAGCGTCACAACAGAGCTGCTGTACGCCCACGACACGAGCGAATACGATCTCGCCGTCTGCATAACCCATGATCAAGACCATCTTGAGGTCACGCTCGAGTATCCGCACCATTTCCTCTCCGAGACTCAAGCACAACGTCTGCTATCGGTCTACATTGCCGCCGTGCAGATGATGATCCGAGATCCAGACGTCAGCATCAGCGAGCTCTGCCTCGCCACCGACATGGATAGGGACCAGCTGCAGGAATGGAACTCCGTTGAACTCGAAACCAGCAAGCGCTGCATCCACGAAATGATCTCAGAGACAACACTTCGCCAGCCTGCAAAACCTGCCATCTCCTCCTGGGACGGCGATCTCACCTACGCGCAGCTGGACCTCTTGTCCACGAAACTCGCCGCTCAGCTACAAGCCATCGGGGCCAAACCAGATGAGGTGGTTGTTCTGTGCTTCGAGAAGTCCATGTGGGCAGTTGTTTCCATGCTCGCCGTCGCCAAGGCTGGCGCAGCATTCGTTCACATCGATCCCAAGGGCGCGCCGAAGAGGACTGAGTTCGTCATCAAGCAGACCAAGGCACGAATTGGGCTGGCTTCATTGGAGCAATACGAGAACTTCGTGTCTCAGGTTGACACAATCCTAATTGTGAACAAACCGTCAGTCGTGGGACTGCCGACACCGAACGTGAACGATGTCGTCTCTGCTTCTGCGGAGCCCTTCAACACCCTCTACATCATCTTCACATCAGGAACGACGGGCACACCCAAAGGAGTGGTGATTCAGCACAAGTCATTCTGTTCAGCTGTGGTAGCAAACAGATCATGGCTCCAGATCCGGGCCAACTCTCGCGTCCTCCAGTTCACCAACTACTGCTTCGACGCATCGCTCGAGGAGATCTTCACTGTGCTGGTTGCGGGCGGTTGCATCTGCATCCCATCCGAAAAGGAACGCATGACTGACATTCCCGGCTTCGTGGAACGAAAGAAGGTCAACTGGGCCGCTTTTACTCCCTCCTTCCTTCGAACTCTGGACCCATATGACCTGAAGTCGGTCAAGTTCATCACCGTGCACGCCGAACCCATGGGTCAAGATCTGGTGGCTCGATGGGCAGACAAGATACACATGCGGCCAAGTTACGGCCCGACTGAGTGTTCGGTCACCAGCACCGTAGGTCTTCGCTTCACGCCTGAGACGGACGCCACGAACATTGGTTTCCCCATCGGTTGCCGAGGATGGATTGTGCACCCCGACAACCAAGAGATCTTGATGCCCGTCGGTGCGGTGGGCGAGTTGCTCCTCGACGGACCGATCGTAGGAAAGGGCTACCTCAACGACGATGCCAAGACCGACGCTGCCTTCATCGACCCTCCTTCATGGGCTGTTCAGGCTGAGTCAATCTTTGGCAGCAGCCCGCCTGAGAGGAAAATGTACAAGACGGGTGATCTCGTCAGGTTTGCCGAAGATGGTAGTCTTCTCATCCAGCGACGCAAGGATCATTCTCAAGTCAAAATCCGTGGTCAGCGTGTGGAGTTGGGTGAGATTCAGCATCACCTCAATAAGCTTTCCGGTGTCATTCAACACAGCATGGTGTTTATGCCCAAGGTTGGTCTTCTGAAGGGCCGACTCGTTGCGGTCGCGAGCTTGACTGCTCTTTCTGCGGGGCTCGATACAGGCAATTACGGTGTCCAGGCTCTCAAGACGGTCAACAAGGAAGCTTTAGGTGACGAGGGTCGCAAGAGAGTGAGCCAAACGTTGGACGACATCACGTCTATGCTGGAGAAGGATCTGCCCCACTACATGATACCGGAAACATGGCTCATCGTGCAGAGTCTGCCGGTGCAATTGTCACTTAAGCTGGATCGCCAGCGTGTCACGAATTGGGTGGAAGGTCTTGACAAAGCAGTCCTCCAGTCGGTTCTCGAGCTAAGCCAACACGCCGGCGCTGAGACTCAGCATGGGTCTGAGATTGAGGAAACCATCCGAAAGATTTGGGGAGAGGTCTTGGGCATGGATCCTGGTGAGTTCATAATATCACCACTGAAAGACGCGAAGCTAACAATTCAAGACCGCATAGCGCTTGACCAGTCATTTTTCAGACTGGGAGGTGACTCCATCTACGGTGAGTTCTCCGCATAATCATCGAATCCGAGGCTAACAAGACACATAGCGATGCAAGTGATGCGTCTTTGCAAAACTGCTGGCCTCCACGTTACGACCCAAGACGTCCTTGCCAACCCAACAGTGAAGCAACTTGCACTTATCGCGACTCCAAAGCCTGTTCCAGACGTCATCGTGACGGCTCGGCCACCAATGTCTCGGGCCAACACCTCGGCCGCCTCGCCCGTTGCCACTCGAACCATCACATCCGTATCTGCGCCAACTACCCCGAGAGAACCCTTCATGCCGATAATGCCCACGCCTCCTAGATCACCCGAAGAGCCGATCCATCACTCACCATTCGTCAAGTATCTCTCCGCCAGAGACGGCAATGTCGAAGCTGTCGTCCCCTGCACGCCGTTTCAAGAGCGAATGTACCGGGCCTTCGTCAAGAAGCCCCAGAAACCATACCTCTTCAACAGCCTTGTCCTACTGAAGGGCATCGATGATGGTGCCGCTGTAAACCTCAACCGGTTGTTCCAAGCCTGGCAACAGACAGTAGACCGCCATGCCATTCTGAGAACCGTCTTCATCCCCGACCAGGCAGCAGGCAAAGTCATTCAGAAAGTCTTGAAGAGGCACAAGGCCGACATCGCAACCCTCTCAGCAATGTCTGAAGCAGATGCCATCACCCAGAGCCAAGGTCACCTCAACGCTACCCGGATGTCTCTCTTCAAGAACAACGCCCCACCGTTGTCTGTTCGGATCTTGATGACTCTGGACCAGCAAGTCTATGTTCACCTCGTCATGGGCCACATCGTCATAGACCACGTCAGCTTGGATCACGTCTTTGCGGACTTTGCAAGCTTTTACCGGGGACAAACACCTGCACCTGCAACGCTGCCCGCCGGGTTTGGAAGCTACGTTCAGCAGCTCTCACAGACCCGAGACATTCCTGCCAGCAACCAGTTTTGGGTCAATAAGTTGAAGGATGTGAAGCCGTACATGGTTCCGTCGGAGTCCATGGTAAACGGCAGCGACCATCACTCCATGGGTGCCGTCAACTTCTCTCTGGACATCACGGACGAGATGCGGTATTTCCTCCGCGAAGCTGGTATCACGCTGTCTAATCTGTTGCAATTCACATGGGCGATGGTCCTGCACGTGTACACGGGCCATGCAACCATTTGCTTCGGCCACCTTGTGTCGGATCGCGACATTGACCTGCCTCATGCCGACGACATCGTAGGCCCAATGTTGTCGCTTATGATAGCCCGGGCAGCCGTCAAAGACTCAACCGTCCTGGTGGACGCTTTGCGCGCGTTTCAAGAGGACAGCATCCTCAGTTTGAGGCACAAGATCTTCGATCTGACGGAAGTGGAGCGACAGCTCGGTTGCCAAAAGACTGGACTCTTCAATACTCTTGTCAACTACAGAAAAGTGAAGTATTCCGGAGGTGATACAGATGTTAATTTCAAGTCCGTCTGGAAGCAGGATCCGCACGAGGTAAGCCATCGGAGTGATTTACACGAGTGGCCCGAGACTAACACCGATTTACAGCAACTCTTAGTCCTTGCTTTCAACGAGGAACCTTCTAAACTCGATGCATCCTTGACTTACTACGAGTCTCTTTTTTCGAAGCAGACGCTGAACACGTTAGCGGAGGCCTACTGTCGCATTCTTCAGATGCTGGTCGGTGGCAGGCATAGGACGGTTGGAGATATGAAGGCTGTGTTGAATTCATAATTACTGATCGCCGAAGACCATGAGACAATTCTAATAGATAAATATTGTGTATTTCAATTGAGATAGGGACTTTTTGTTTTTTCTGCTTCAAGTCCACTTCTGACTGTGTACTGGCTATCAATTCTCTCATACAGTGCACTTGGTCATTGTGGTACAGGCACCACTCGAGCGTCTGTGGATTCTAAACGTATCACCAGCTTCGACCGGCTTCATGCTCTTTGTTTCTCAATACAGCATCACTAGTGGCTCGGCCCATAGAGCCGAATGATGGGTTACCGAAATGTGGGATGTACTTTATCACGGATGAGCTTATTTGGCCCCATCACACCGAATATTGACGTCAAATAATGGTATTTCTTCGCAATGATTCTGGCTTTACCTGTAAGCTTAACGCCAAACAATTCTACAACTCCAGATCGCGTTGCTGAACTGTGAGCTTCGACCGGCGCAATGGCGCTGGGAGTGGGCAGCGAGTGGTTGCGCCTCCGACTCGTTGCGAGGAGTTCGGACCGAAGTGGGTCCCCGCTTCAGTCCGATGCCGAACCCTTCGGTCCGCTGGCATCATCCAATGGGAGCTCGAGGCCGTTCTCTATTGCTGTATCGCTATAGGCAATCAGCTCAATTGCGAGTCCTAGGTCCAGGTGCCTGGTTCGACGTCTTTGTCTGGAGTTCGTCCAGAAATCGCGCCTTCACGAATTTTCTAACGACTGGCAATCCCTGAATAATTGCGCCGACAGGCACAGCAGCCGACCTTAGTATCGCACCGGCAAGGGACGCTCCTTTGTTGAGTAGTAGAGCTTCTGCTTCGTTCTGGCTCTGTAGAACATCCAGTGCACTCCTCACTCAGTCATTCAGGCCTTCCACTATCCGTCTTTTTTCTTACCATGATGATGCCATCCGGTCCAAGTAAGAAGGAGGAAAAGTACTCTCTCCTGAAAGATGAGACCGGGAGAGAGTCCTACGAAGAAGAAGAAGCACCACGGCCATCTTCATCGTCGTCATCAGTCGATCAAGAGTCCGGAGCCGTCAAAGTGAAGAGGCAGCTCCGGATACCATGGCAATTCGACCCGGCCTGGAAGTCATGGTATCTCTTTGTCCCCCTCGGCCTCATCTTCTTCATCCTCGCGGGGCTGGCTTTCTTCCCGTCATGTGAGCCGTGCCGCAAACAAGACACATCCGGCTACGTCTGCGCACCCAACGGCGCCCTCCCCAAGATCGCCCGCGACAGAGGCTGCGAGTTCGACACCATGTCGTTCAAGTGGTACCCCAAGGAGGCCTTCAACGACAAGGACAACCAGGCGCTCCTCAGGGAGTTCCACGATCAGGGCCCGTGGCACAGGTACTACGACAAGGGCGGCAAGCACGAGATCCCGCCGACCAGCGAGGTGCTGACCGCGGGTTGGGTGTCGAGGAAGGAGCACACTTTCCACTGCATGTACACGCTGAGGCAGACGCACCTGTGGCTCATCAACGGCTACGACGCCCCGTGGAACTACACGCACACGCTGCACTGCACGAAGTATTTGATGGACACGATTTTGGAGAACCCGCCGAAGGACTTCGACGACCTAAGTGTTCATGGAACGCCGTGGCCGGAGCACCCTGATGTGGTAAGTCGAGTCGCGGGAGAATTTCTCTCTGGCACCGTTTGCTGACGAAAAATGATTGTAGGTGAAGCCATACTATCCTTGCAAGCAAGAGGGACTGAGTTGTGAGTCGTGGTGAGAGAGGCCACGGAATTAGCGGTGAGGTTGGGCGTTTCAATTACATTCATAGCATCGATCAGAGCATTTGCACGTCAATCGAGTGGCTGAAGAATTCATCAATTTATCTAGACTTTTCGTTGTTGCCGATTATCCGGCTCTGGAAAAACTTTGAGTGATGGCTGAAAAGTTCTGTTGCATCTTAATGATCGGCATATGATCATCCTGCGTCTATGCGCGGCAATCTTGGTGTAGGGTCACATTGAACTTGCATAGCCAGGAACCCGCGAGGTCTGGATATTCCATGTTTTAGTTTCTAACCAGAATTTCACCGCTGCAAGCTGTGTCTCTTGAGGTTTCTGTGGAAATAAAAATCGCAGCTTGGGACCGTGTTGCCCAAGAGATCAAATGGCTAGATGAGGGAAAACCGGGTGGGAGGGCTCGTGGTGCGGTCGGAATAGAGCAAGCGTACAGCCAGCAACCCCTGAAAAAAACCCCTCTGAGAGGGTGTGTGATTTTGTCATCACATTCAATCTCTGCAGAGGTTTCACGCGCATGGATGGCAAACATGTTACGCTCTCAAATCCGTAAACACGGAGGGAAATGCATCGCTTTTCTAGTTTTCGTTCCGAACTCCTCGCATTCGACAGCCTTGGTGAACAGACTCTTTGCATCACAATCATTTAGATACCGCCAAGACGCCAAGAACACATTAACCCAAAATTGGGACGAACAATGCCACGCTAATCAAAATCACAGATCTCTGTCGATGAGAAGAGGGCAGCGCGGATGGCAAGACCAAACGAGCAAAGACACAAGGCCGATGTCTCGCATGTCGAGGGAATTTCGCCGGGCATTTTCCCATTCACGTCTTTCGATTTCGTCGATCGCAAGGCAGGGGCGAGGTAATTTGAGCAACTTGACGTGAGGCGAGGACTGGTGAACTGACAGACCCATGTCTTCATAAATCGACACAAACATTTTCCGCCAATTAAGCAGGCCGCAATCCAGCTTATGAGGGGTAATTGTGGACCAAAACATGGGGGTGAGAACCACCTGAAGCGGCTGGACAGTCTCGGGTACAGTGAACCTTTTTCTGGTCCAACATGAGAACGACTCAGCGCCAACGGCTTGCTTTTGCAGACTGACTTGTCACTTGACGGCCTCGCCTAGCTTCGCCATAGGGGCTAGGAGAATTAGTGATCAAGTCAAACCATTACGGCAGATGGCGGCAATGCGGTGTTAGATTGACAGCGCACCTGCACGCTCCAAGGAGGCGGCGCCAGGCTAGACATTCCATCACGTACGATTCTAATTACCTTGCCGCTCCCTGCATGTCTGGAAAGGGATCACAGCGGCTGCCTTCAAAGTTGCTCCTCCCCCAGCCGTGTTATCCACTCGGCCGAGGCCCCTCTTCGGTAGGTTCATCCGAACATTCCTGTGTGGCCCAGCGAATAGGCGAGAGAAGCCAAGAGCAGGTGCAACGGCCCAGATCCATCAGAGCCAAAGGTCAACAAAGGGGCCGTGATTCGACCTGCAGGGCGTCCTTCAATTCTTGAGCTGTGGACACTCCTCACATGTAAGTAAAACAGAGGGCCAAATTACGTTGCACGTCATAGGGAGACAGCGCCTGCAGACGAGGCCATGCCCTTGTTTGGAAGGTCTGCCAATGACGGGATCCTTATTTGAAACGGCACGCCAGCACGCGCTGTTGGCGCGCTTGGCTGGTGATAGCGGGCAGGTTTATTTCAAACATTCTAACGGACCCGAGGATGCGCATCCCGGGGTCGAGTGGGGCTGCCGAAGACCGAGACCAACACGGAGAATCTCTGGCCCCCGGTCTGGCGCCAACGGACCCCGGCCTATCGGTATGCACCCCTTAGGTGCTCGAGATTAAGGAAACTTGCTTGAGTGGGGGTATTTCCTAATTGTTCAGACCAGTGCAAAGATGCCAAGACAGAGACGGAGTGTTCCTGGTTGAAGAGATATAACATGAACATCAGAGCTGCTCCGACACAGATCTTGTGTTTCTCTCTTTGTTTGTTCAGCCGCATCTTCGCTGCATGCCTTCTTTTTCGAGTCACCGCTAGTACGGTGTTTTGTCATTCTTTTCAGAAATCATCCTGTTGACCCTAGCGGTTAGCGTTCGTTCTCTCGCAACACTTACATTCACTTTTGGACAACCTCCAAGCCACTCATTCATCCCGATCACCTCCAAAACTCGAAACTAGAAGACACCTAGAAAGCGATTCTCGCCATGCGTTACACAATCTTGGGAGCCGCGGCCCTTCTTGGGCTCGCCGGATCCGCCTCCGCCCAGCTCCGCGCCTCGGCTTACACCGATCCCCAGACCGGCATCGACTTCCAGCGATACAAGCCCGACGCCTACCCGTACAGTTTCGGTATTGCCGTCCCCGAGACCACCGGCACCGACTTCATCGGCCAGATGGTTGTGCCCATCTCCACCAAGGGCAACTGGGGTGCTGTGTCATTGAAGGGAGGCATGTTGAACGGTCTGTTGTTCGTCGCCTGGGCTGATGGCGAGGACATCGTCACCTCGTTCAGAATGGGCAGCGCGTACTCCAACCCCGACGTCTACACCAAGACCGAGGTCAAGGCGACCCCCATTGCCAACGGTACTTTCGTCAACAGCACCCACTTCTCGTACACTTTCCTGTGCAGCAACTGCGTCGACTCCACCGCGACGACCCTTGCCGGCGAGTCCCCCATCCTGGGTTGGGCTTTCTCCGACACCAGCCCTACTACTCCCTCTGACCCCGCGAGTGCCCTCAACTACCACTCTGCTGGCTTCGGCCAGTTCGGTCTTGACATCGCCAGTGCCAAGTCCGCTAAGTTCGAGGAGTGGTCCAAGTACGCGAAGGAGGTTGAGACGACTCCTGTCCCTGGTAACGGCACCACCACCCCCGTTCCCGGCAACAGCACAACTCCCATCACCACCTCCAACAGCACCTACGATGTCATTGTCGTCGGTGGTGGCCCTGCTGGCATCATCGCTGCCGAGCGTATCGCTGAGAGCGGCGCCAGCGTCCTCCTCATCGAGCGTGGCCCTGCCAACACTGTCCCCCTGGGCTCTGACCTGGCTCTCCCCTGGAACGACACCCTCACCCCCTACGACATTCCCGCCCTCGGCAGCTCCATGACCTCCCTCTCTGGCATCAGCATGTGCAGTGACACTGCCTCCACCGCCGGTTGCCTGCTGGGTGGTTCCAGCTCCATCAACGGCCTCAACTTCATCCACCCCCCTGAGCACGACTTCCAGCGCTGGCCCAAGGGCTGGAACTGGGCCGACATGTCCGCCGCCGCCGAGCGTCTGTACGAGCGCAACCCCGGCACCACCGAGCCCTCTGACGACAAGAAGTACTACGATGACCTCACCTACAGGGTCCTCTCCGGCCTCCTGAGCGGCAAGGGCTGGAAGGAGGTCGACTCCATCGAGTCCCCCAACGAGAAGCAGGCCGTCTTCTCCCGCCCCTCGTGGTCCATTAAGGACAACCTCCGCGCCGGCCCTGCCCGCACCTACATGCCCTTCGCCCAGCAGCTGCCCAACTTCACCCTCAAGCTCGAGACCAAGGTGATCCAGGTCGAGCGTACCGGCAGCACCATCACCGGCGTCCTCACCCAGGCCGCCGACGGCAGCAAGCAGATCATCAAGGTCAACCAGGGCGGCAAGGTCGTCCTCGCCGCCGGCGCCATGTCCTCCCCCCGTATCCTCTGGAACTCCGGCATCGGCAAGTCTGACGCCCTCGCCATCGTCAAGCAGGGCGCTGCCTCTACCGGCGTCACCCTCCCCGCCGAGGCTGACTGGATCGACCTCCCCGTCGGCCACCACCTCCAGGACCACGCCCAGGTGATGCTCCAGTTCAACTCCCAGACCAACTTCACCGCCTACGGCTTCAACGCCATCGCCTCCAACCCCGTCACCTCCGACCTGGCCCTCTACAAGGAGGGCTCCGGCCCCATCACCCAGGCCGCCCAGCGCATGCACCTCTGGACTTCCGCCGAGGGCGCCGACGGCCGCACCCGCTACCTCCAGGGCACCGCCTCCGCTATGCAGAACGGCATCATCACCGTCCGCACGTTCCTCACCCACGGCACCTCCACTCTCGGCGAGCTCGGCATCTCCGCCTCGGGCAACACCGTCCTCAACACCAAGCCCTGGCTCATTGACACCGAGGACCGCAAGGCCATGTCCGACTTCGTCCAGTACTGGCTCGACCTCACCAGCGGCAGCAACTCCACCCTCAGCTACGTCACCCCTGGCGCCACCCCCGAGGACATCATCTCCACCAAGATGATCTCGGGCGACCACTGGGTCGGCTCCGCCAAGATGGGCACCGACGACGGCCGCTCCGGCAACGGCACCGCCGTCGTCGACCTCGACACCAAGGTCTACGGCACCGACAACCTCTTCGTCGTCGACGCCTCCATCCACCCGGACCTCCCCACCGGCAACACCCAGGCCATCATCATGATCACCGCCGAGCACGCCGCCGAGAAGATCGCCGCCTTCAAGGTCAGCGGATCCAGCAGTGGCGGTAGCAACTCGACCACCACCCCTGCCCCCGTGAACTGCAAGCGCTCTGAGAAGCGCGCTGCTCGCCAGGCCATGCGCTTCAGACGCCATGTCCACATGCACAAATACTAGGTAGCCCTCAAGTGCTGAGCGGACACCACTGGGGCGGGGTTGTATTAGTTGATGTCATGAGTTACCCCTCCCGAGCATTCATCGTATGTGTTTCCTTCTAGACTCTGTATAAAGTCTCTTTACATCGTAAATAAAGCATTTTAGATCATGAATTTTGATAGCCTTCGGGTGTGATGATTAATAATGCGATCTCATGTGGTACCTAGAAGGATGCCCAAAGAACGTCAAGCCCCAGCCGTTATATCTAAATTAAGCAAATCAATATGCCCAAGTCAGCAGGGCTGCCGACCTTGGCCCCGGTGATCCGCATGTCTTTTGAGACTCGTGGGACACATTTTTGAACAGCAGCTCTTCAC